TGCTGTGTGTTTTGTGTTTGCGTTAGGTTTATAGCTTTGAGTTTGTTTGATTGCTGTCAATCATAACAGTCGAGCTGAAACCTATTGAAAAGCACACGCGTATTTTGCTATTGATTTTTGTGTCCATCGTTATTATATATTTTGCGTAAAATTATTCACCGCTTGCTAAGATTTACGTTATTGATATATTTGTATTTCAAAGCTTTTATTAAATATTTGATACCTTATTGCTATATAAATGATTCAATTGTTTGTTGAATTATAGAATTACAGAATAGGCAATAGATTCTGGGTTTTGATATACAAATATGATTTTATCGCCTTTTTGACGTCTTGCAATCGAGGTTTGGTTTATGTTTGATATTGATATATCAACGAAATGTAATCGTTGAAATAGCCGAATGTTTTACTGATGTATTCTATGTATTTGGTATATACATATTTTGTCTAGGAAGCTTGGCAGTTATAAGAAATCACTGCAGTTCTAGATATTATAATTGTAATTAATTTGATTTTTACTAAGGTGTAGGCCAATTTAAACTGAATTACTCAGAGCATACGGCAGACATTTCTTAGCCTAATACGGCTAAGACGCTTTAACTATCAATATGGTTACAAACTAGTGTTGCATTGCATCGTCTCTTAAGGCAAATTGCTGGAACTCCTCGTCCCGTAATTTAAACAGCTTTAAAAAAATTCTAAATAGCTTTGAAAAATTCTAAATAGCTTTAAAAATGTTATAAATTTTTAATTTTATTTAACGTTTTTGATAATTTTGAAATATTTTCAAAGATCGCGCATCGTCGCAGTCTCTAACGGTTGAACATTATGAACTAAATTTTTACATATTAATAAAAATGCTGTAAAATATATGATAATATACATGCCAAATGGCATATTTTTAACTTTATTAGTTAGATCACTGAATCCGTTGGACCCGCCTCCTCAAAGGTTCAACCAATTCTTCACTTCGTAAATTCGGACACTCGTTTCTCTCAAAAACTGAACTTTTTTGCTGTTTTAACCCCGTATCTTCGAAACTAATTAGCACATCTCCCCATCAATAGGAATCGAATTCGAATTATTCAAATAGGTTGATCGTGAACGAAAATTTGTATACAAATATACATACATACATACTAAATACATACACTCAATTTTTTTCTCATGTATGCCAGAATGTTCAGAAACTTTTGAAACTAGAACATATGCAAATATATATATATATATATTCGATTTTTTTTTGTTTAAGAAATCGAAACATATAATCATTGAATAAATATCGAAACAAAAAACAACATGAATTTATAACATTAAATTTTAAATGTTTTAAAGGATGGGTTCTACCGTGGATTAGTGATTAAGGCTATGAGGTTTCATGCATTTTAAGCAATAGTGACATCGGTTTTCACTTAAGATTATAGATAGCAATATGTTTCTAATGTAAGTGAAAATGTCCTTAAAAAAGAGATGGCCAACTATTAGATGGTCATGTATAATGCCAACTAAGTTTGACATTATAAATTCAGATTGCTGTTAATAATATTTTTAAAATAAATTAAATTAAAGCATTCAAAAATTAATGTATAAATATGTTAAATTGAATACACATGTACATATGCGCGTGTGCGATTCTCTACTTTTACGCCTGTGATGAAACCTAAGAAAAATTGTTATATTAAAAATATAATTATATATAAAAATGGAGATACATTGAGATATAAGATAATAAAACGCTATATGAAATATGTAAATATAATAGAACGAAATATTTTTCATTTTATTATACTACTTTTCTTTTATAACCGTCATATAACATCCACTGTAATATATTTATTTTAGTTTATTCTATAAATTTAATATAGTTTATTTATGACACATTTTATACAATTTTTAACTTTTCGAAGGAGAAGTTTATGTTTTTGCCCAAAAATACGATTCGCTAGTTTTATGTTTTCTCGACGTTTCAAGTGATTCTGAATCGAATGAGACCAAATTTGGAAAAAGTATGTGTGTGAGACGATTTTTGACCTTTCGTCGACGTTTTTTCAAAAAGGACTGGTTTATTTATTTATTTGCTGATTAGTGCATTTATATAAGCAACTTACAAGCTGTCACCGAGTGACACGATACTGACCTATACATATAAGATGAATTTCTTAATAATTTTGCCATTTGTTTGAGCTAATAATTTTTTAATTTAATTTTATGTTATTTGGCATACGTAAATACTGTACAAGCCAATTAATCGCCCTGTAACGCTACTGAACGGACTAGGAATAAAAAACATATTTGAAGATTTTCCACTCATTAGTAAGGCAAATGCATTTAAAAATGCATTGCATTAAAACTCTTCTAAAGAACTAAAAATTACAATAACAAATTAGAATTCTCAATAACAATGAGTGATAACTGTTTAAGCAAGGGTCGACACTCTGGATGTCGTCTATGGACGACACTCATACTCATTGGTCGTCATGCGAATATATATTTTAGATGAATCCAATGTGATACATGAGATGTGTAGATTAAGGTTCAGCAATTCTAGTAACTACTTATTTACTCTATTTATTGCAAATACAGAAATGTGTTGAATTTTGTCACAATGTTTTTCATTAATTTTGATTTGTTAGGGTGTATCACAGTTAAAGTGAAAAGAAAGAAAAAAGAAGGTGAAAAAGATTTGTGAACACAATAGCAGCCTCGGTAATAAAACGATGACAATAGCTAACTAATAAAAAAAACGGAACATTCAACAAAGGGGACAATAGCATAAAAAAATTGTCACTCTTACCTTACGTGTGAAAAATATCCAAGATATTCTAATTTTGCACACTATATAATATTACAATTATTTACGTTTTGTTTTAATAATTTTTATTGTACAAATATTTATAGTGACACATTAAGTACCTACATAAAAATCTTTCTATATAGACTATAAATATGGTTTCTATTTGAACAATACTTTCGAATCAGCGAATGAATTTTTTTTAATTGTTTTTGAACAGCAATCAGAACCTAAAGCGAATGAAATTAAAGTTGAATACTAATATGAAAGATGAACCTATGCTCTTAATTGTCGAACATATTATATAATAAGTCTTACAATTAGTGCTCATCTTGAAATCAAATTTATTTATTTATTTCCTAATTTTGTTTAAAATAGAGGACAGATTCGAGGTTTTATTAGAAGTATGCATTTTGGTTTTGATATTTTGTCCACAGGAATACTGTGATGAAATACCGGCTAAATAAGGATTTTTATAATACATATTTGTTAGAAACAGTATGTAAAAATTGAGCACCTTAATACAATAAAAAGATAGTTGAATACTTGTTTTCTGGTAAATTTGATTACTTGACCTAAAATATACAAAACATAAATTTCTTATGCATAATTAAGAGCTGTTTTATAAAGTTTCTTTAATTTTGAATTTAAATATTTCTTAATATTCAATATCGAATATTTTAAGTGTAAAATTAGTTTGTTAAATTTGTACTTTATTAACAGTTAAAATATTACTGTTCTCAAGGATGAAGAGTCACTTTACAAAAAAATGACAGATTAATATGCGTTCTAGTAATTTAGCGCCTCGTATACAACTCATTTTTCAGTACTTAACAATACGAGGTGTGTTCAAAAAGTACCCGGAATTACTAATAATTAAATTTCGCGGGTCTGGAGTGTCTGATTGTCAAAATTTTTTTTTTATTGTGTTGGTATACATGCCCCTAAAGTATGATGAAATTTTCAGCTATATTCACTGTTTACTTTGTCTGTGGTAGTCGCTAAGGTTCGACGTGTTTTTCTGAGCTCGGCGATTTTTACAATGGAAGAATTGAAAAGTCAAAGAATTTGTATTAAATTTTGCGTAAAAAATGAAATAAAGTGTTGCTCGTATATGTATAGCGTAAGACGGAGCACAAAGGTCAAATTTAACTACATTAAAATTTTATTAAAAATGACTGATTGCGAGTAAAAAGGGACAGCAATCGGGCAAACTGATGTACAATATCTTATTTTAGATTTTAAAGGAATTATACGAAATAATAGCTACATTATTCAACCATTGCGAAATAAATATTCATGAGCACATTTTTTACAAAGATTACACAGTATATTACCCTGATCTGGTATTTCGTGAGAAATAATTATCAGCAGAGATGGAATAGCTATTAATTTAATTTAACTCTTGTAAAATTGCTTTTTTTAACTTGATCTATTTTTTTTATTTACTATTTTTCTATTGTTTACATTTTTGCCAATGTAAAGTTTTAATTGCTTCTTCTTACCCCATTCACATGTAATATAGAGGTCATATAAAAAAACTGTTGATATAACTCAAAACTAACAATACATCTTATAAAACAACTAAATAACGTATACTTAAAAAGTATATTCAGGCATCATAAACTAAATCAAAACCAAAAAAACTACGTACGAAACAAAATACGTAAGAATTGACGTAAGATGATGGCATCATCATTTGTCGTAAGATGATGGCTCATTACACATATTTCGCCTTCTTCTTTAACCCTCCGTCGATCGGAGTGGTCTGGCCAGACTTTTTTCGACTTCAATTTAAAAAAAAAAAACTTTTAGTAATTCTATCGACTTGAAATTTCTGGTCTTTTCCTAAAATTTCATTAGCTGTCGATCACTGAAAAAATCAGGACGAAAAAACGTGTGGTCCAGCCAGACCACTCCGACCGTTCGAAGGTAAATAAATATCCGACCGACGGAGGGTTAAAATAGTATCGTTAAAAAAAATTATACTTCCATTATGTTTGAGTTAATGGTGGTGGAGCTTTTTATCCACGGACATTTAAGCTCTGCAAACAAAAACCATGTACATGTAATCGTCGACTAATAGTCTTTGCGGTTTCCACTTTGCCTGCTTTCAAATCGCATTATGTAACACGTGTATAAATTTTAATTATTTTGATTGTAATTTATTCATTAACATTGATTTGAATGTTTGAATTTGTCGTTGCAGCAACAATTGCCGCGACGCGCGCAAAAGAGCCGAGAAGCAGCGGCGGGACAAGTTGAACGCGCACATCAACGATGTGGGCGCCATGCTGCCGCTGGTCGTGCAGTCGCCCAGGAAGGTTGACAAGACCGGCGTACTGCGACATGCTGCGCATTACATACGGACGGAGCACGGTAATTTTAAAACAGACATTGTGTTTAGAATCACTTTACGGTCACTTTTTCCGAGGGTGTCGAACTCACGGTCCACAGGCTGACTCCACATTGTTTTTTGTAAATCATATTAACTTACGTTATATGCGAAGGCATTTACATAATGAGGTAATTTTTAAAAATTAATTTAATTGATTAATGATCATAGGTGAGTACTATATATACCCCACTCGGTGCACATATAGTTTAATTACATAATACACTAAGTTGAAAAATGCGAAGAAATATTAATTTTAATAAATTCAAATTTATGGTAATAGTTTTTATCTAATCATTTATGGGAAATACGGACAAAATGGTGTATTTTAAGGTACCTATATTTTTTATGCCAAAACCCCGACGGCAACTTGTTATGATAATCCGGAACGAAGGGGGGTGGGGGATGTATTGTGTTAAATACTTAAATATGATTTCAATAACAAATACTATTCATTTATTTAAGGATACAATGAAAAACTTTTTTAAACAAATCGATTTTTTCATGCAGGGTTACTGACTTTTAGTAGAATGCATACGTATTTTTCGCTTTTATTAAGCCTTATATAAAATTCTCTTCAATTTCTTCATAATTGACTTACTTGGTCGAAATTAGCGTTTGTGCAAGACAGTTCAAAAAGCCTCATAATTTTTGCTCATTTTCAAAAAATTTAAAACAAAAAGTTCGGATATTTTAACCCACATTTGGAATTTTGCATTCGGAAATTTTCTCATTCACATAAGCACACTCGTTATAGCATTTTCAGATATTTGATGAATAGTTGTAAATTTACTCTTATTGCGAAAATTTATTTCAAATTTACACTTTTCGAAAACCTCTTACAATCTGCTTTGAGAAAATTATGGGACCTAAGGTGGAAAATCGGGACTGTCCCGGCCAAATCGGGACGTATGTCACCTTATATATATGGAAAAAATTACACAGTAGCCCTATTGACTAGTTTTATTAACATTTCCGTGACTGTATAACATGAAGAAAGCCATAATAACAATTCTGTCAGATGTTGAGCGTCATTGTCACAGTATTGTCGCAGTAATCAGATCAAATGTGCATCGCGTCTTGAAAAGTTTATTTTGAGGGTGTTCTTATCATGTATTTTGGGAACCTATTTATTGATATTCGTAATTATTTCAATTAAAGTCAATTAACTTATGCCAGTACTAGTGATTTCGATCAATTTTATTGCAATAATCAGGTTTGATGGAATTCTGATTTATTATTCATTTTTGTTCAATTTTCAACAAGATAGAATACTTATACAATGATCATAGTACTATTTCTCAAGCATTATAGGGTCAAGAAAAAAAATTTAAACCTGTCAAAGGTTTTAACTTCTACTCTAAGTATGCAAGAGATATTCGCTTAAGACAGGCCGAAATATCCACCGGTAAATAGAGAACTTGCATTTGTTAGAAAATCCTTTTTCTCCTTTCTGAGCCCGGCGAAGATTAGTTATTTCATGTGCTAATGTACCAAAATGAACGAAACAATTAATACCTCAGTATGTCCTTATATTATTTTGTTCGTGCTATATGGGCAAAAGAGATTTTGTAATGGGTTGCATTTTTCCTTAATAAATATCTCGTTATAGTTCCTGCTTATTTAAGATACTTCTTACAGGTAGTCAAAGAACAAATAATGAATAAAAACGAAAGAGACTAGTTACAATATGATTAAATGAACAAAAATTATTAAAAAAACACCAGGCCATTTTGTCTGTACTTTCCCTAAAATCAATGAGAAAGTAGCCAAACAATAAATATCAATAATTTTACAGTTTTTATATGACTGGTGGAGTTTGCTCCAATTGCCACATTATTTTTGACAGGTCGGTTATAATATGTTATTTGATTAATCAGCATATAAATCAGAAATGTAATTAATGTCGTTTTTATAAAATAATTGCAAAACACGCGTTTGTATTATTTTTTTTTTTTGTAATAATTATGTTCGACAGAAGAAAGAATTTTAAGCAGAACCATCATCATGCTTACTTATTCCTCGTCACGGTTCTACTTTTGGGTTATAATACAGACTAATCTATAGTTTTGAAATATTACAAACTACCTGTTGCACATTTTGTTATATTAATTATTTGAATTTCTGTGTCTTCATTATAATCCAATTTAAGTTGTATGAGATGGGGTTTATACCTTTCTAACTTTACGTATTTTAAAATAATTTATACTGAAAGGTACTTAGTAACCTTTCTGTTATTGATTGCTTTTTTCAATTTTGGTTTATTTTTACATATTTTTATTATACTATATCAATCAGTATGTGAAAATGTTATGATTATTGGTCACTTTACTCATGAATGATTACATCTAACTATTCAAGAAACATATAAGGGTGATGTTATGCAATTTGTTTTATATGAACATTGAAGAACATACCTTTACAATAATATCTAAATTTATTTTCTGCAGAATGTTAAAGTTGGAAGCAATTTCCAAAAAGCATAGAGGGTTGATTTCACTGTCGTTATAGTTACTTACAATTAACGCCATTACAGTTTTTTATCTTTCCACAGTAAAATGTAATATATTGTTATTTGTATGTTTCTTATATGTCTTATCGTTTTTATTGATTTGTTTGATTTTTTCATAATAATCGTATTTTATTGATGTTTTGCCCGATTTAACAATGGTCATGTTGTATATATATTCGCTTTTGTTGACAAACATTAAAATGCTTTATTAATTTGAATTTTATCTAGCATCGAGTAATATATCATGCAATAGATGTCAATTAATTGGAATTGTATATGTAAGATGAATTAAAAATGTTGGTTCATTGTTTTTATCTCATGATTGTGGGAAACGACTTTACGATGCCGTATGCAAACGTTTGAATTAATTATTGAGCCATCAGACAAGCCACATAAAAACTGGTATTTCAAGTTTGGGTACATATAAACCTATTAATGCTTTTTGTACGCGATAATATCATATTTTTGCCATCGTATATATTTACAGATTGTGAATTATTACATAACTAAAGCGTTGTAATTTTTATTTATTAAAAATAAAAATTTTGCAATTTTTATATTTTATGTAACAATTATTTTGTAAAGTAAAACTTCATCTCGTTCAATTTTTTTATTTTAAATTTAATTATTTTTATTGATATTATCTAATGATGGCAATTTTTTTAAATTTTATAAAATGTCTAACAAAATACTTTTGATAAAAGTATGATTATTGTCTCACCAATAATAGAAAATTTGTATGTTATATTTGAACTGATAAATTAAATCTCGAGGTCTTGATAACAAAAATGTTTTCGTGCAAATGAAAAGTTATCAATCAATTTTAATTAAGGCTTCACGAAAGGTAATTGACTAAATAATATCAAATTTATTTTGATGACATCTTAATCGTATTTTGTATCGCAGAAATCGATTTATTTATTTAAATTTTGTTGATACTTTGGGTATAAATTGAGATAAGTTATCTGCAAAATGGACTTTAACATATGTACGGGCTTATTAAATTTTTATTATCTATTGACGTTGGTCATCATAATAAAAAAATTGAATGATATAAGTAAGTTTCAAAACCGCAATTGTATAAGATTAAATGCAGGCTTGTCTCGCAATGTAATCATTGTAATCTCTCAATGGATTTATCGCGCAATTGCTTTAAAATTTTGTGAAAAAGATGTTGCCATAGGCAGCAACCTGATCAGTCAAAAAAAGCTTTATTAACAAACCTATAATTATATAAAAAGATATAATTAATTAAAACTATAATAACGTTTGTTTTTATCATAAATGTAAATGTAGACTGCTATGTCATCAACTAACTATTCATCTTTACTTGTTTTTAGTTGTAAAAACTAAACAACTAAGTATGATTATAATTTGAAAGCATTTTAAACATATAGTCTTTTTAAACTACAGCTAAAATATTCAGTAGACATGCAATTAGCAAGGAACTCGTGTATATGAAATTGTTTTTGTCATTTGCATTTTAAAGTAGGTTTTTAATAATGTGTTTCCTATTGCATTAAATATATATAACTAGTGTGTGTATGTGTATTCTTGAAAGTTAACTTTTTAGACGTAAATAATTTAATAAACAGAAATTGAATGACTTAATAGTGACAAAGTTTATAAATCATCTTGTTCAATAGATTTATCGGTATTTTAATATGTTGTTTTAAATTTATGGCACTAAATAATTTTCCAAAGTTTATTATACTATGAATGTTTATATTAAACAAATATTAACACATGCTAACATTACGAATGTTGCAATGTTAATACATATCATTATTTGGATATATAACCTATTGATAAAGACCGTTTGCGAGATATAATAATATTTAACTTTCTTCTAAAAATGCAATTACTCAAGTTTGGCAAATTTTAGCCTCAGAGCTTAATAAATATTTCCGAAATGTGTTGTTATGTTTTAAAAAGTATATTTCGAGATTTTACGTAAAATGTCGACAAAATGCATTTTTTAGTAGTAGTTTGCGTTTGTAGTACTGGTTTGCGCTTATTTTACCTTAAGAATTATAAAATTATATATATATATATATATATATATATATATATGTACTATATGTCAGTACATTTTATGCTTAACATCAAAACATATTTTGCATTATATTTTTGAAAAATGGTTTTTCGCTAATTTTGAATTAAAATGAATTATTTCAGAATCATAAACAATACTTGATACGTCTGATTTCTTACGATAATCAAAACCCAATAATGTCTAAGAAGTATAAAAACAAAAGCGCGAACCTTGTTTAACACCCTATTAAGTTATAGGGCGAACCTTGTTTAACACCCTAGTAAGTTATAGTAATCGCAAAAAAATCTAAAATGGAAATCTGTATATATCTTTACGTTTCAAGGTGCTTCGAACATTCTGGAAAAAAATGATGTGCGCATACAATTTTTCGCCGACGTCTTCGAGAGCACGGATCAACCGATTTGAATGATTCAAAAAATATTCGTTTTCCATTGATGGGAAGACGCGCTGATGATTATGCAGGTCCATCCGTTTCGAAAATACGGGACAAAAACTGCAAATAATGACAATTCTGTTTTTGAGAGGACAGAGCGTCCGATTTGAATGATTCAAAAAACAATTCACTTGTATTGAAAAAAAAATTTATTAAATTTTTATGAAGGCAGGTCCATCGCTTTTGAAGATCCAATAAAAAGAGTTAAAAAATCAGCCATTTGGGGGTCAAATGATCATTGGACATCATATTATCAGATACTTTATAGAAATTTTAACTAGCGGTGTGTGGCATCGTGCCTTGAGGCAAATTGCTGGAACTTTACGTACCGAATTCAAATTTTGAAAATCTGAATTATTTTTGATAGTAATTTTTTTTTTGTTTTTCCAAAAGCGATCGTTTCGTCAACACAAGCAAAAAGTTTTTTGAATCATTCAAATCAGATGCTTATTTCTCTCAAAAACTGCCATTTTTTGCACATTTAACTCCGTATCTCCGATACGGCTGGACCTGCCTTTGCCAAAAACTAATCACGACTTCCCCTCATTGTTACAAATTGAATGTTTTTTGGATCATTCAATTTGGGTTAAATGATCATTGGACATCATATTATCAGATACTTTATAGAAATTTTAACTAGCGGTGTGTGGCATCGTGCCTTGAGGCAAATTGCTGGAACTTTGCGTACCGAGTTCAAATTTTGAAAATCTGAATTATTTTCGATAGTATTTTTTTTTTCCAAAAGCGATCGTTTCGTCAACACAAGCAAAAAGTTTTTTGAATCATTCAAATCAGATGCTTATTTCTCTCAAAAACTGCCATTTTTTGCACATTTAACTCCGTATCTCCGATATGGCTGGACCTGCCTTTGCCAAAAACTAATCACCACTTCCCCTCATTGTTACAAATTGAATGTTTTTTTGGATCATTCAATTTGGGTTAAATGATCATTGGACATCATATTATCAGATACTTTATAGAAATTTTAACTAGCGGTGTGTGGCATCGTGCCTTGAGGCAAATTGCTGGAACTTTGCGTACCGAATTAAAATTTTGAAAATCTGAATTATTTTCGATAGTATTTTTTTTTGTTTTTCCAAAAGCGATCGTTTCGTCAACACAAGCAAAAAGTTTTTTGAATCATTCAAATCGGATGCTTATTTTTTTCAAAAACTGCCATTTTTTTGCACATTTAACTACGTATCTCCGAAACGGCTGGACTTGTCTTTGCCAAAAACTCATCATCACTTCAATGTTTTTGGATCATTCAAATCGGTTGCTCCATTCTCTCAAAAACTCGATTTTTATTTTTGGCACTCTTTGCTCCGTAATTTCAAAACGGCTGGACAGATCTTTGCCAAAAACTAATCAGCACATCTCCCTATCATTAGGAATCGAATGTTTTTTGAACCATCAAAATTGGTTGATCCTGGCGCCCGAAAACGTGGATGAAAAATTTCTATACACGTATACACACATCCATTTTTTCTAAGGTATGCCAAAACCGCTTTGGTATAAATTCAAAGTTTCAAAATTATCTAAAATATTATCTTTATATATTCAAAAGTTCAAATTTTTTAAAATTCTCAGAAAAACTAATCGTTTTAAAATTTTTAAAAGCTTTAAATTTTTTTCGATGCGGGATGGTCCAGTAATTTGCCTTAAGGCGCTATGCTATGCACTACTAGTTGTACTTGTTATGAAGAGCCTTTTGATTGTTTGCAGTTTTTGGCAACAGCGGGAGCAAAGCTCGCCAGACTATGAGCACGGCCGCAGTGCGAGCCTTCGTGGAGGCCGAGTCCGGCATACTGTTCACGGTCACCTGTCGCGGACTGATCGTAGCAGCCGAGAACGTCGAACAGATGCTGGGTCACTGCAAGGTAAGAATTTGATCTTGCCTCAAGGGCTTCATTTACGCAATAGCGTTATGATAGAAACTTAAACAGAATTATAATACAGTTTTTACGTTGCCGGACACGGAAAAAACTCAACTTGGTTTTATATGTCGTTTGCAATAGTTCTTGGTCATCTTTCTTCTTTAGTAAAAAATTGCAGTTACTTGAAGTTCTATAGCTTTCAACTTAAATGGGTATTCTAGTGTAGAATCTCAAAATAATTGTTTTTTCTTTTCTTTCATATTTTCAAAGTATAACAGTTTAACACTCCGTCGTCGGCGTGGTCTGGCCAGACTTTTTTCGACTTCAATTAAAAAAAAAAACACTTCTAGTAATCTTATCGACTTGAAATTTCTTGACTTTTCCTAAGATTTCATTAGCTGTCGATCAATGAAAAAATCAGGACGAAAAAATGTACAGAAGGATAATTATAAGGATATTAACTTTTTTATACTTCGAACGGACGGAGTGGTCTGTCTAGACCACCCATACATTTTGTATGAAATATACGCTTTTTGATATACGTAAACCAGTATTTTGTCTTTTTTCTGGTATTTTCTATTCAAACTGCATTTTACATATTCTTTGCTATGTTTTGTAACATGAATGTTAGTATTTTCACGACGAGAGTTCCTTGAAAACCTTCCAAACTTATTGGTCATCGCAAACATTGAAAATCGGATGAGTAATGCGCACATTATCAACAATTTTTCTGCCCGTATTGCGTTCGAAAATTTTTTTTTGGCAAACCTGTAGTGAAATTATATTTTCAACTTGAATTTTACAGCTCATTTCAAAGGCAACGCACCTCATTTCGTTTTCATTTGAATTTCACATTCATTTCGAAGGAGCCGAAAAAGAATAAATATTGTTTTTCATTGATATAAAACAGAAAAATAAAAATAATAAAAAAGCAACGATTTTTTTATATTCTTTGATTTTTTTATAGAATATAATAGAATATATAGTTTTTTTATTATAAGCAAGCAACACATGCAAAAGACTGTAAGAAAAAGAAAAAATCAAAACTATAAATATTTACTACTAATAATCGTTAATATATAAGACACCAAAAACTCATTTATCCCATATAAATGCATGTAAAATGAATAGTGGTTCAGCCAGACCACTCCGACCGTTCGAAGGTAAATAAATATCCGACCGACGGAGGGTTAACAATGTGTACGAGAGGATTTTTAAAAATTGGAATTGTTGTTCTACTCGACTGATTTACTTGAAGTTTTCCGAGAATTTTTTTATTGACTTCTCTTTGGTATATACTAGACTCATCCACAAATTTCAATGTTTACTATTTTTAAAAATTCGAGAAACTTAAAAAAGTGGTAAAGACTGTCTTTTTTCAAACCTTCGTTATTTTGTCAAAAAATACTTTTAACTTTTTCGTAGTATATACCATAGCGACAACATTCTAGATTCTTGATTAGTTATCTAGATTGTTTTTAGCACTTTTACTCAGATTGCTAGAGGGTTTCCAATCGTGAACATGGTCACGTGGCAATTTTTGAGACGCTCTACTTTAACAACTACTAATTCTTAAAATTGTTAACTTTTTCTTTTTACTTTTATTCTGTATTCTTAAAACATTGATAAATAAATTTTAAAAAAATAATAGTGAAAAAATATATTGCTCTTTTTAACGATGATTTAAATGACTTAAAATTCTAGTCTCTACACTAGAAAAGCCCTTTAACTCAGGAACGTTTAAACTGAAAGATTGGAAATAATGAATTGATATCAAATAATAATAACATATAAGTGCATCACTACCAGGGCAAGATTAACATATGAAGTCATGTTACATTAAAATATGTACATTTTCAAAATATTTGAAAATTAATGGTCAGAAGATTTTGTATTTCTAAAGTAATTTTCAGGATTTCAGGACAGATGTAAAAATTACTATAAAATAAAAAAATGATATCGAAGCTTCCGATATATTTTCTCTTGCCGACGGATTTTGTTGAATTTCAAACACATGTGAACGTTTTTAGGAAGTATTTGAGTTGTTGGGATTGTTATAGATTTTTTTTTAGATAGTACAAGATGCAATTACCTTATAATTCACTTTTGAAAATGAATTCCAAACGTTATATGCAATTTTTCATATATTTATGTATTTGCTTAATATTTTTTCTTTAATATTACACATTAAAATTTTTTATTTAACTTAAAAATTTAAATTGATATTTCATCACTATATGCTACGGGTTTCTAGTATGCTTGTATGCATTTTTGAAAATCAAAAGGAAAAATATAAGAAGATTAAATATAATGCTGTTAGTTCCATTTCATTGAAAATTATTCAAAGAAAACGTTGAGAATTTCGGCGCAAAATCGCATTTTTAACCACTTTGTGAATACTTTCGCTATTCGTTGCACAAGCTATTAACTATTACGTCCATTCATCATCAAACAATATATCTTCTGATAATTTTCTTTTTAAAGCGGCTAGTTTGATTTTCTCAAACGCAATAACAACGCAATTTAAAATTAATAAAGAGTTTTAGTGTATAGTAGTGAGCATTCAAGTAAAAATAAATAGTTCTTGTAAATTTTCATAAATAATATTGTTTTATATCGGATTGAGCGTGCGAACATTTATTTTTTACTGTACATACAGGATTGTATACAAAAAAGTGCATAATATTTGAGGCAGAACAAAATTGGGCCGAACTCTAAAAGAAAACATTTAGTTCAATTTTATAATTATTCCACAGAAAGTAAATTTGAAATCTAACTCATTACTGTCTGATCAACTATTGTTTTGCATCCCAGCTTTATTTGTAATTTGAACGAAAGTTTTTTTCGAACAAAAAAATGAATTTCAAATATGGAAAGAACCACTTTATTTAGAATTACTCTTGGTATAAATCAATAAATTCAAATTAAATATTAAAAAACGTTATATATATTAAGAATGATGACATATAATGATATATGTAACATAACAAAATTTGATAAATTGACTTTCAAGTATATATTTAGAAAGGGCAGTTTAATAGCTTTCTCTATACTTGATTCGACAAACTTTTTCAAATTATTAGCTAGAACTTTGACTCTACATTTTTTGAAGAGGTATAACATATCAAGTTGCTTTTCTCGCAGCAAAATTCTAGTAGCAGAGATGAAATATTTCATGTTTTATAATAGAAAAAATATTTTTAAAGCAACTGTTGTTCTCAAGTTCCATATTAAAACTTACTTATCATTACCTATTTGTTCTTGAATTGTGAGATTAAAACATATAATTTGATGCAAATGTGATAACTAACAATCATTTTTTATCGCCAAAGTTATTTTTGTGGAGAGTATGTTTTTGGTTTTAATAGTAAATAAAAATTTCGGTAGTATTTTCTTCTCGCCTAGAAGGTCAGGATTTAGTATTGGACCAAGGAAAAATTCGTGTCGTTTTTTTAGTGAAACTCAAATCCTGTTCATATCATTGTCTATTGTGTTTATTGTTATTCAAACTAAATATTCTCCATTATTTTCGACATTCTTCGGGTAAAGCCATAATGCCATCGGTGAAGAACTTCTATGTTTCTTTTTACATGTTGCTTGAAATCCGTTTAATTCCCTTAAGTAAGTTCCGCAGACATCGAAACAAAGTGCTAGTTGGAAGGAGCTATGTCTAAGACTATACAGTCGATGCATCAATATTTTTCAACCAAGCTTCTGCAACTTTTGGCAGATTATCAAAATGGAAGATGGAAGACATTATTTTTATTACAGGCTGTTTTCTTTAAATTGTTTGGCGTAATCTCTCTAATTATTCACAGTAGAGTTAAAAATCAAACATTTGACTAACTGGAAATAGCTCAGCATCACCTTTTTTGGTGCCAATTCTGGCTTAGTAAACGCTTGTGGTCGCTCATCATCACCTAATCATGATTTTTTTTTATTTTTCTGATTGTCGTATGTGATCTATTCTTTATCACTAGTTAAGAAATGTTTCAGAAGCGGTTAGATTTCATGGCATTGCATAGTTTCAGCAGCGCATCTCAGACGTTGATTCGATCTATCAAGTTTTCCGCTATCTACTTATGAGGAATCCATACATCGAGCATCTATTTGTTGCCTTATATATATATATATATATCTTTATGTAAATGGTTCAAAACAGTTTTCTAGTCAGTACCATTATCGACAGCTTTTGATATTTGATATTTATCAACTTTATTCAGTTATTGTACGACCAGAGCGTGGTTCATCTTTCACATCGAAATTACCAAAATGAATGCAGCACAATCTTTTTCACAAGCCTGCCAGCGTTCTTCGCTTTGTAATAATATTATTGCAAAATATAGAACATTTTTTTATCGTTTTTCTCAATTTTCGAACGTAAATAACTTTCCAACGATTCGACCAATTTTGCTGGCTATAATAAGCCTTATAATATGACTCAAAGCGTCACCTTTCTTACGAGCGCTCACTAGTGCCGCACTTCTTGAATTCTTTGTAACTAACGCCGCCTAATATTAAAGTAATAGCATTAGCCTATGGTTGATTCACACGTTAAGCAATATTTCAAAATATTCGATTATCTCTATTATTATTCTATAATATTCTATTTATTATTCAGCTCACATTAAATTAATAAAATAATGGAAATTTTAATTCATGAAATCTAGTGCTAGTATGTGTATAGTGGCATGAAAATTAAAAGGCGATAAAGACTTAAGTACAAATTCTATTTCAAATAGTGCAAGCAATTTGAGATTTGAGTTGTCAAATATTATTTTCCTGAAATGTACAGGAATCTATTAAATCGTGTGTGTCATAGATGATTTTTTTTAAATATTTTCGTATACAATAAGTAATTTTTTTGATGTTTCATTGTGTATCGAATAGCGCGATACATTATCCTCGAAATGTGTTCAGCGAACCAGTTTGTGTTATTGCATTTTTTTGAATGAAATGAATAATTTGGCATGTAAACAAATGCGATTAGTTGTGCAACATAATGATAAGAATAATTTCAATCAAGCAATTACTGTCGCATTTTGATGGCCTCGTTTTTGTGTCGATGCCTTATCATCCGATCATTATGTCGTTCTGCGTATCTGGCGATTATATTTTGTCCTTCATTTTGCTTGTAGATATTTATGTACGCGTATATTTCTATACATATTTACACAAATTGAGATACACATGTACTTGTGTATCTAATGTGGTAAGCCCGATGATTTTACTCAAACATATAGATTTTTATTTTTGTTTATCTTTTAATAAATTAAAACCATGTTGAAAATATATATGTACGAGAATAAAATTTACAATATTTTTCTTGAATAAATTTTTATAAATTTGAGGAAATGAATTAAATAATTAGTAGTAGATATTTCTCAAAATCATTGTTAATGTAGCCGTTTTTAATCTGCTTCCAATTATTACAAACAATAAATTTGATTGTGTACATTATTATATTTAGTAAAACAATTATGAAAAATATTAACGTGATTGATTTGCGCTATAAGTTATATGATGCTAAATAATTATCATTACAATTATAATATAAAATGAAGTAAAATTTAAATTATAATATAGATTTAATTTCATAGTTTACTAGATCTTAATTATGATTTTTTATGTATGTTAATAATATCGAATAATCTAAACTTTGAACTGTGCATTTTTTTTCTAAATTAAAACAGTTTGTCTTCGACGTGCACTTTTATTTTAAAGAGGTGTGTTATATTCTTTATTTGGACTTTATAAGTATGTATTTGTGCATATAAATGTCTTCCAATGCGATGCCAAATGATCTTCGGCGTACACGTGCGCTATAAAGGTTTTTGCTGTCGGAGAGCACCTTCATTTTCTCTTCTATTTTTCATTTCTCACATATATACATAGTGAAAGCCCTATGTGACAACTTTGTAGAATTTTATTCCCTCTCAAACTGTACACTTCATCATTTGCTTGAAAAATTACGGCAGCCGTCGATGCTTCGCATAGAATTTAAATTTCCACGAGATACATTTTTGAATATGCATGTACGCATAATACGTTTCATTATGATGAAATATTTTCTGCGTTAGATAAAATCATTGTCGATTTTTAGAAATTTTTTAGATGGCAGGTTGTAAAAAGGTTTCGTAAACTTATAAATTTAGACATGATTTAAATATCTAGATCGATCTTTTAACATGTTATTACATTTATTACAATTCTGTTGGCAAGTGCGGATATTTGTTGGAAAATTAAAGAATTTTTGCATTGCATTGATCATTTAGATCAATAACATTTTGTCATCTTTCAAGCAACATTTTTATTTGTTTTGTGTTTTTATTAGCAAAAAAACGAATCAGGTTTAATTTGACACCGTCATAATCATTGATTTGTTTACCATTTAAGGAGTTTTGTAAAGATCGAAACAAAACTGTGGTAGATGTGGCAAAACATTTCAGCCAAGCTCCAATAATTATCACCAAGTAATTAAAGTTATGTGATGTCAAAAATGGAATAAAAAACAGCGTCGATTTGTCAATTCAGACCGCCTTTCCTCAACTGCGTTGTTCAATTTCTTCAGTTGTTCAGTGTAGACATCAGAATTTATCTTATGGTTGGATGGTAAGAGTAAATGTAGGACGACCAGAGAGTTTTTCATCTTTGAGTGAAAACTCACCAGAATTAAATTTGGCAAACTAATTTTGAAACTGCCGTTTTTTAAGGCTTTATTACCATAAACAGCTTATAACTTTTTGTGAGCTTAAGATGTCATTTTACCTTTGCAGAAATACAAGACTTAGATTTAACTTTTCGTCTATCATCGAATGCCAAACGAAAACAACGCAATCGATTCAAAAACTTCTTTTTACTGATTGACAGCAAAATTGCCTACTATCCAATAACAAAAGGTGTTTCACATTTCAACTATGTCAGCATACCTAAAATATTAATTGAAACCATCCAAGAAAGAATGCCGCTCTTACTTATTTACCAGCCTAATATTTAAACCTGAATAATTTCAGATCATCAGTTTAGTTTTTCTAATCCGCGTACATTTATGTTCTTAGAACGACCTTCTTGGACAAAGTCTTCTAACGATCACTCATCCAGATGACCGGGATTTTTTGCGTCAGCAGTTGCAGCCCCCAAATCTGCCACAGCTGCCTGGATATAGACCGCAGCAGCAAATTAAACATTTGCCAGGAGAAATCGATGAAGTTAAAAATCACGCAAGGAATCAGATTGGCACACAAGAAGAAAACGACGAAGATTCACTCGATAAAAGGCTCATGGAGGAAAAGCGGAGTTTTCATATCAGGTATCATATTATTCATTTATTAATATGTCAACGGTAATATCTGATTTTTTAAACAAATATAGTAGTAGATAGTAGTCATCGTTATTTACAACTAATAATTATCAGATTTATGTTTTGCATATTAATCCAGAAATTTACACATTAATTTCATTTAGTAATTTACACATCAATATCATTAAGATATATTGATTAAACTAAAAGTTTAATCGAATCAAATTGAATATTTACAAAATAGTTTTTTAATGAAATTCCAAATTTTAGTTCACAAATATATCAACTAAATAAATCCAGAATATTTATTCTTATACATAACGAGAATAAAGTTATAAGAACTATTTATAACTGAATTAAATAAAAAATTGCAATGAAAATAGTGTTACCATTTTTGTAGCATATTGGTTTCACTGCTCTATTGCAAATATTATATAGAAAAAAAACTGTTCGCAAAATAATAAAAATATTTTTAGAAAAGTTTTAGTTTTTAATTCAAATATTTTTGTACTTATAAGAAATCGATTGATTTGATTAATACAGTGATTTAAAATTATAAAAATTCTTCAAATTTTGAAATTCGTTTCAAAATTTCACAATTATATCGTCACAATTTGAAAAGGTGCAAATTTCAATTCTTATTGATTATGTTGATTATTTACATATATCGGAAAGTTTTTGAAACTCGCCTTGAGTAAAATGTCACTTACACCTAGGTTTAATTAATGATGAATCAATGGAATGAAATAAAAAGACGACACGAAGGAAGTTGTATCAAGCAAGTGCCTGTGATCAATACTATCTTTTAAATTGAATCTATTGTCTACTCTATATGAATGTTTGATTAATGAATAAATACCAAAAATACAAATAATATCGCTGTACTTTTTGATACGTTGATATATGCTAACATACATTGCAGTTTAGTTATGTAAATATGATTGGATATTCCACTTGAAACAGATTAGCGAGAGCGGGGTCCCGATCTGAGGCGACCACCTACGAGATGATGAATATAATGGGCAGTTTCAGGCGCGCGGACAAAGCGCCGCGGCCCTCCTGCTGGCAGTCGCAGATGGTAAGCAAACACAAGCAGCAGAGCAGGCAGCGCGACACGGCGGAGGACGCGTGCTCCTACGCGAATGACCTGGTCTTTATAGGGATGGCGAGGCCGACGATCAGGCCTCCGGCTGGGGATAGGATTCTGGAATCGCTGAAGCCGGAGTATAGGACGCGTCATCTGATTGACGGCAGGATTGTTCAATGTGATCAGAGAATTAGCGTCGTTGCGGGATATCTAACTAAAGAAGTAGCGGGATTGTCGCCATTTACGTTTATGCACAAGGAGGACGTGCGTTGGGTTATGATCGCGCTGCGTCAAAGTGAGTTACAACATTATACTACAGGTTCTTTATAAAAATGTTATTGTTTAAACTATCGATCATATGCATCAATAACGTTCAAGTAATTTTAGTCTAAAATAAATTCTTATATGAGTATTAGATATTTAGATTCATAGTTGTTTTGTTCAATTTAGAATTATATTTTTCTCAAAATCATATCTAATCATCAGTATATTGTTATTTTGTAACATAGTGAAAAGGGATAAAACGAACCTAGATGTGAAAAAATTCAATTTTTTTGGTATATTAATTTTTCACACAACCTTTTAACTTCTGTTATAAGAAAACATGTACATTAAATGTTAATTCGATTTTGCTAATATCAGGGTGTTGTTGATTAGTTCCCTCACTTTTGTTGCTAATGTTAACTGTCGTAAAATATAGACTATAATTTTCGCTTTTTTTTTATAAGTATTTCAAGTTTTTATAGTATTGCATAGTGTATTTTCAAAACTCTTTATTATCATAGTTCAATTTTCTTTAACACTTGTTATTTTAGTTGGCATTATAATTGCTCGTTCAACATTGTTTTTTTAAGTTTGCCTGAAACATAGCAAATTATTGAACTATTTGGTGTAAGGACAATAATTAGCAAATATTACATCTAGTAAAATGCATCTTGTGTGATGATTTTCTAAATGTGTGGTTTTGATATCGGTACAAATATGATTATATGTAATATTTTTATATTTTTACAGTGTATGATCTCAGTAAACCTATGGGCGAATCGTGTTACAGACTGGTGACGCGTTCTGGAGAATTTATTTATTTAAAAACGACTGGTTTTCTTGAAATAGATTCCAAGACGCATGCCGTACAAAGTTTTGTATGCATAAACACATTGCTTGATGAGAAAGAAGGTAGAGCACTTGTCCGAGAGATGAAAGAAAAGTACTCAGTCAAAATGGTAAAAAAAAATAATTTGAATTATTATATTTAATTATATATTTACATATGATAATTTGGATTTTTGTTTAATTCGAATTAAATAACATTTAAGGATGTCGCGTCTGATTTCTAACATCGCTTTCCTATTATATTATATGTGCAGGAGAGGCTACGATAATTCTAGATCACTTGTATCATTTTATAATAGTTTCAATATAAATTCGAATGATGTTATTTTTATCTTTTTATCTATAGATGTTACCCGCTCCGCCTGAACCGCCCACGACGACGCCCGAGTTAGAAGATCCTCATCAACTGGAAGAAGCCATAATGCACCTCGTGAGTCCTTTGCCCGGAGAATCGCGCAGAACACCATCGCCGACGGTCGCTCAGAGTGGCAGCGGAGCGGATGTACCTCATTCGTCTCGTGCTTCCCTTTTAGAGATCAAACCGCCTGATTTAGGCTCAATAAAAAGTTCAATACACAAAAGCGTGGAAGTGATAAGCTCAGTGCACTTGGCGAGTCCCAAACCGAGCCCAGAAGCCGACAGCCCGCGCCCATCCGTACTACGCAACGTCGTTCCCGAAGAGAGCCCGAGGTCGAATGGTAACATAAAGCAAGAACTGTTGTCGCCTGCACCGTATTCGTTACCTGAAGATTACGCGGATCCTCCTTTTCCGCTCGATGAACTAGGCAACATTTTACCAGATAGTGATGTGACAAGAACTTTGAAAAAACAAAATGGTGTCAAGCGAACTAATAATGATCAAGTGGCCAGTGCAGTGAACAAACGTCGCATTATATCCGGTAACGATAGTCAGAGTAAGGATATTGATTTAAGTTTAGACTGTTTTCAATACGACGATTCGGTTGTTTTATGTGATGATATGGAATGCTTAGATGAAGGAATAATCTGTTCAGATGATGGACAAAAGTTTCAAAACAATGATCTGTTTTAAACTACTTCAGATTGATTTAAAACACTGTTCACATTTGTACCTACTTTTTTAATTTACTTTATACAAACACTAGATGTGCAATAAGTTTAAAAGTAACTATAAAATTTGGTGATTAAAAGAAATGTGTGTTTTTGAATATATTTTTGGATATAATAATCATTTAAAGGCATAATTTCATAATGGCATATAATTTTATCAACATCGCATCCATATCAAACCGTCCAATTCATCAAATGATCGAAGAAATCTAATCAGATAAAACTTAAAGCTGAATTACAAGTCCACTCGATACACAAGCAGATTGCAGCGGCTGCAACATATCTTAAAGATGAGGTGAATTGTTTTAGTTGTTATATTCTGGATAATGTTATTTGAAAAATCACGATTTAGCTATTTTTGCCACAACATTCCACATCACTAAATGTGATGTATGAATTTATTTCTGTGACATAAAAACATATTTTACAATAATAATGTAGAGTATCGTGCATTGTTGATCCATACCAAATCAAACAGGCTTGCCATCAAATGAAAATTATATCTCTCTATCATTTCATGGTAAGTTGTTGTTTCACATTTTATTATTAGATGTTATTATTTTATTTGTTTTGTATTTCTACATATAATTTTCTACTATACATTTAACAGATGATAAATCCAAAAAGGATTCAAATAATACTTTGTGTAATATTGAATTCATACCGGATTATTAGAAGCTACATAAAAATGATATAAAATGCCTATTTTTATTATGTACTATATGGCATAAATTTGAGTGAACTTGTTAAAAACTAACATTAAGCATTTATTTATGTTTACTATTAATATGTAAGCCTAGTCAACTTGGGGTTTTAAAATTATTTTTAATCAATCCTTTTATAATCACACAAGTACAAACTTTGAAAATTTTAAACATTATTTTCATCTATTTCATTTTTAAACCAATAATTATTTTCTAGTAAATAACTTTTACAAAAGCTGTTATATAATTTGAAAATAATACTATCACATAACGATACAGCAAATGCAAGACATAGCCAATAGCAAATGTTCTACTTTGTATCTTGTATAAAATTTTCAAAAATTAATTGACTATAGTCAACCAGCGCCAAGTACATATTAATCTTTCAGTTTTATCAATCATTAATTTTTGTTTTTATTTTTTTTTAATTCAATCATTAGTTTTTATATATTAAACGTAATAGTTTATCATATGTTAGCATCACCTTCGCAAGGTCAGTGTAGTGTTCCTCTAGATTAGTACTAAGCAATTGTTGTTTTCAATCTCACGTTAGTATTTCGGGTAGAATTAGACTGTGTTGAAGTTAATTATTGTGATATGCAAATGGGGCACATAAATTTTTGCATTTCTAGAAAGTTTGTTGATTATTCTTATTCATAAAGATACCAAGTCATATATTGTAATTAATTAACACATGCATAATAATATTTTAATACACCACCCTTTTTATTTGAAAATGAAATAAAATTTAGTATGAAGATTTTATGTCTGTAAAGTAAATTAATAAGACCAATAATTTATAAACAAATGAGTATTTACCTTTACCATGGAGTTGCAGCAATTATGTTTAATTTAATACTTTCATGTTTTTTAATATTTGGTAAATTATTAGCTATTTTGAGCTGCTTTTTCAAACGGCAAAGAAAATATAATAGTATGTTTTGAGTTATATAGTGATTTTTGTAAAAAGTAACGTTTTATGATTGATTTTTAATTGCTGATCATATTTTAAATTTCATTTGCATTAATTTTATGATAATTTTCGATGGTAATTGTATTAGTATTACATTTTAAATTTATTGCCTTATTTTATTCTATATTATATATATTTAATATTCAATTCTTTACTGTTTAATGGTTACTCCGTTGGTAGTTTATTTATTTACTAATTAAATCTATGCAATATATGATGACTAAAATTTTCAATTCATACAATTTCATATGTACAAACTTCCTGAGCCTCATTGAAATTGCAATAGAAATTAGAGCACTAGATTGTCAATTACCCAAATATTTGTTACTTGTATTATTAAATGATATTTGTAAATAATACCTAATGGCTCTGTATAAAATTATGCGTAACATAAATGTTAAATATGTACATATTTGTAAAGTTTTAAAGTAATATATGGTTACGCTATGATTGTCATAATATGATGATGCACTATTTCATACATTGTAACTAATAATTATAAATTATTTAAGATTTAAAATATTTATAACAATAATATTAACAGATTTTTGTATATATAAGTATGTATCTAAGTAAGAAATTAGGCCTCTTTAAAAATTTCAATGCAGTTAATAAGGGTTATTATTCGTATAATAAAGTTTCAAATGGTTTCATATATACCTGTATAGTTTAAGAATATCAAAATTTATAATATGGAAGTTTTAAATATTTTTGTTATCAAAATAAATATGCAATAACTCGTGTAGAATTTAAATTTGAAAGATACATGCTTATATGCTTATATGTGTGGGTGTATGAAATGTATGTTTGCGTATTTTTTATTTATGCATACATATTATTTCAGTATAGGGCTTTTGTTATGAACCATTTTGCTGAAAACGTTTTGTATCGTTTATTGAGAAAAAATTCATGCTTTAGTATCAAATATCTATGAAAAGGACATTTTAATATATTTCACTATTAAACAAACGGAACTTACAATTTTATGTTATGAATAGATTTCTTTATTATTAAGAGAAATTTAAACAAAATGACAATTATGCTCTAATTTTATTATGCTTGTCAAGTGATAGAAAATCGTTTTAAGCAATTTTTTCACAATATTGCCCTGTACTTACATCCATGTATACTTGCAATCAGTTCATACATTTATTTTTTAAGAATCCTAATACTTTAATCATATTGAATATAATCAATTTCTAGTTATAAATTTTGAAAGTGATATTCATAGAATTGCAGTACAACCAGCAAATATTGAAAGGACTGAAATGAGTTAAGAATAAATAAATAAAAAAATTACTCAAATAATATTTTTGAGACTGAAATTTGAATAACTGATTTATTCTGAGATCTAGAAATGCTTTTTTTTCAAATATCAGTAATTTTTTGTGATTATTTCATGTTGAAAATGTTTACACAGAACACATAATTAATTATTATTTCTTGAAATATATGATAATTAGAAATTTTCAAGTTTGCCTGTCGTCAGTAATAAACAAAAATGGCCTATATTCATCATGATTCATACATATGGGGTGCATTATGCATATATAATATTAAGTGCATATGGTAATCTTCTGGCCAAGTTGCCTCAGAAAAATGTGCTTTTGATATTGCCAAACAACTAATACAGTTTTGTGAGGTGATCAGAACTAATATAGGTTAAGCAGATTGATAAATATATTTTACAGTCTATTCTAAATAATAAATAAGGTTTATTTTGTATTTATGTGATTATTTTAATTTTTGATAGAGAAATATGCACAGGATAAAATATTAAATATGCATACATGTTAATATAAATTTATTTTTAATCAAAAGTTTATTCATGCACTTAGAACATTTTTGGTAAAAGTTGACTTTTCTTAGATTATTTTAATAGTTTTCAATAATTTACAAAATACCATCTGGAAAATCACTTCTATAAAGCAATGTTTGTTTAAAAATGTTATTATGTGTTTATTAATTTGATAGGGCACTACTTCTATAATAATAACATTGCGGAATATGCAGACAGTTGTTTAATGAATTTTTCTTTTATTTATGAATGATTTGCGCATATATATATATATATATATATATATATATATATATATATATATATATATATATATATACATACACATATAAGAATGTAATGTTTACACTTTTACATATTCATATACATAAATTTTCCTAAATTAAAACTTTTATTTTTTTGAATGCAACATGTTCATTATTTCCGAAATATTTCTTCATTTAAAACATGAATTTGTTCAATACTTCCGAAATATTAAAAAAATGCAAACATAGGCAAGAGTAACTTATATTATCAGTATTTACTTCATAAGTGTATATTTTAAATAGCTAAAGATTGTTGAAATTAAAACTATTATATACATTATAACATTTTCTACATTTATTAATTGTACATTGTTTAGATAAATGAGATTTCGAAAAGATAAAAGTTTTATGAAGATACTAAAGTGTTGAGTATCATGCCATAAAAGTCAAAATGTATGTAATTGAAAATATTGATAACTGTTTTTTTATTCCAGTTTGTGGATATGCTTGTAAAGACATATGCACCTTATCCGTCATTTGTTGCTATTATTATGTGCAATAATATTTATATTTGCAAAGCAATCAAAATTGCTATCCATTAATTGCAAATGGAAATAAATGGGTTTTTACCTCTAATTAGTACTGACGCTCGCTTTCTTTAAAATGACACATACGTATGTTGGTCGAAGTAAATTTATTACACAATGTAGAATCCACATTGCAAGTAGGTTTCCAATACAAGGATTGTTGTGATTTTTCTGAATTCCGAAATGGTTGGGTAATACTTATGATTCATTGCTAACATTTGAAATGCTTTACTTGAAAACATATATGTACCTCAGTAATATTTTGAAATTGATTTTTTTTTTAACTTCTTGCTGAATGTCGCCCCTGAATGCCTAAAGTGTAAGTTTTTTGTGGACTTATTTCTGTGGAATTATAGATTGAAAAAAGAACAAGAATATATCACAAATTCAGCACACAATCTCACATATAAGATATAAATAAAATGCCCCAATTATATACCTTAAATAAACCCCAAATACAAGATATGAATTATGTGCCCTGAAATTGATGATGAATGAAAGAGGATTGATCATTTTGGTCTTAACTTTATTAATGAATTAATACAATAATTTCATGTAAACAGACTTAATTATTATATCAAAATATCGATTTATGATATAAAATTAATTAAATGTTACATTTATATGGACCACTGAATGATATCTGCAATCGATTATAATATTGACATAAAGATTTATATATTATAACATATAATAAGGAAAGATTTTGCGAAATCAAAATCATGAAAATTATACATATATCTTTGTAAGAAACACATATATAAGTAAGTGAAGAAACAATAGAATGTTTAAAAATAAAGACTGCGCCATGTTAATTATTTTATGAAAGATTGATTTAAAAAATAAATAATAAAGTTATATGTATCACATGTTTTTTCAATCTTCTATGAGTATTTGTACTATAATTTTATAGTTCTATTATATTACAAAGCCCATACATATTTTTGAAGAAAGCTAAACAACTTAAGTTGTCATAATTATGATTCAGAACACTCACCAACCACACAGTCATTTGAATAATGATAGATAATAATTCATAAGCTATCTTTACATATATTCTATATTACATAAATATATACGAATATATTATATACACATTTTAGAAAAATAATAATGACTGCTTCCTGATTGCATGTTATTCATAATAAAAAAAATGGTTTTGATTCTTAGTCTCACAGTATGTTATTCAACTTCATTCAACAACTTTTTAATCTGATACACAGTGTCGGATTTGTTGTTCAGATATAAATTATAAATATTCTTTGCATTTTGTAAAACATTTTTCGTTGTTGCATGAATCATTTTATAAACATCGGAATCTTTCTCATTTTCTATGCAAGGAAAAGATAAATACTTTTTTAATAGATTTTGTGCATGCAAGTTTTGAAGTTCTGCGAATTCGAAAGAGTTAGTACCATATATCATCTCTGCTAAGTTTATAATCTTCTTAAAATATTTTACAGCTCCTTCATAATGCCCTAAGACATAACAAGAAAGAAAATTTATGATGTTATTCTATAAATATATGAGTAAATTTTTAATTATTTTATATTTGATAATATATTATCTATTACCAAATTGTGAATGCATTTGACTCATCCAATCATAAACATCAAGTAATTCGGCATTATTTTTGTATAAGCATCGTTCATATGCATCACATATAGAACTAGCAGTATTTAAAGCAGTTTCAGCTTTCATTCCATCAAGTTTCTCTAAAATATTTTGTTTAATTAAATTATGGATAAAAAATGAATCAAAGAAAATTTGTAACCAACATTATTTCAATGTTATTCTATATTAAATATGAATAATATATAATTGCAAATTTCATTAACATACCTAACAAATTTTCTCTGTGTTCCCTGATTGTTTTTAAATCTGATAATATTTTGTGAATTCCAACATATCCACATTTTGCACATTGAGGTCTATCATCTTTAATTATAACAAATCCATTGCATGTAAAACAATGGAATGCTGAAAAAGTGAGCTAAAAAGCAAAAAAGTAGTATTAAAAATAATCAATAAATCAATTTAAAAGAAATAAGTAGAATAAAAAGCTTAGTAAAATATCTTTGAATTCTAATTTCACAACCAAACAGAATTGTACTGTATTTATTATTTTGTAATGAAAAACATAAGAGTAAAAATTATATAAAATAATATAAAGGTATTTAAAATAAATAATTTGGAAAATTGAAAGATGGGTATCTGGGTTCATACCCAGATAAAGACAGCAGATGCAATTTAGATTTTACTCTAAAACAATACGCACTGTGTGCTCAATTGCAAAAATAGTGCATACAATTGGATATTTAAAAAGTATTTACATATAGATCTTGTAATTCTGGATTCCCACATGCTGTACACTGACATGTGAAGTGATATTGACTTAATAGCAGGGACTGCCTTTCTTGAAAACTATTTGTCAGAAAATGAGGACCGTAGCAATTGAAAACTTCTTGTCCCTTTTTGATAGGATATCGAGCTCTAACAATTTGTGTTGAGCCTGAAAAACTAAAAGAGAATCATCCATGTTGTACAAGCAAAGCCACTATAGTCAAAAAGGATAAAATTTATTATTTTATATAAAATTAATTATTCATACAAGATCAAACAAAAAATTATGTGTTAAAATATAGAAATATGCATCATTAAGATCTCATTACCTTGTAATTATATTGGGATCACATGAATGATTCATTATACTTATTAAAGGATAAAGCCCAGTAGCGGTTTCATAGAAATGACTATCATCAGAATCATCAACAAAAAAATTAATACTATGCGCATTACATATGAGTTGACATATATGCTGTATCAATAGAACTGATATTAATAGCATCCACTGGTCAGAGTCTAATGAAATGCTGTTATTCTCTTTTATAACATGATCGATAAATGTTGTTCTTTGTTTGATGAACAAAGCAAGCATCACAGCTGTCTAAAAATAAATTTATTTTTAACAAGTAATAGATTATCTGCCTACCATTACTGACATACCAAGAAATATTTTGTAAAATCATCTTTTTTTATATGTTCCATATTTGTAATTAAAGACAAGACAAATGCATATCTTTCACCTGCATTAATCAAAAATTTTCTACAATCTGTTTTCTTTTGCATTTGATCAATTTTTAGTAATATGGTTTCTACATTATTATAATGTACACTTTTTTCATCCAGTGAATGTAGAACTTTATTCAATTTCGGCAGTCCTACAAACAACAACCTCGTAGCTAGATGTCCAATGCCTACATGCCTCCAGAATGCATTGTTTGCTCCCAGGCAATCCCAAAGGTGATAACTTTCCCATGCATTTGCTCGACATTTGTCTGAGCAATATGCAATGGCAGAACAGGAGAGACAACTAAAGTAAAAAGAGAAGAGTGAAAATTCTAAAGGCGAAGAAAAGGCACCTTGACAAGTGAAAATACTTATTTCAACTGAAACTCAATTGTTTAATATCTAATCTAAATCTGAAAAAAATCTATAAAGAAAAATTCATTTTGACGATATATTACTGATTAATTTAAGCAATAAAGAAAACATAGAGATTTCTTTATTGTGTTTTACTTTCTTCTTATTATATGTATATATAGTAATATATGTAATCAAAAATATAAAGAAGGACTCATCACAGAAGTGTTGAGCCACCAAAAATGAATTATAAATGATTTCATACGGCTCAGGTGTGGTTGTAGCTATGCAGCAATTATCACATACAAAATAATCGTCTTCTGTTTCTGGCAAGGTTACAGATGAAACAGGTGGTTCAATAAATAGAATATCGCCTACTTCAATGTCACTCGTGCTAACTATTCCACGAGAGAGGCTATCAATTCTAAAAAAAATACTTATAATTACTATTATATATAAATAAAATATGTAATACGCATTATGATATTATAAAACTCATACATTATAAAAATGTCACTTAGCAATCTGTAAGAAGATTAAACTATGTCAAATATCATATCACTCTTACTTTAGATCAATTTTTTGAGAAGCGTAAGCAATTTCTGAATGGTATCCTAAACTGGGTGTTATTGCATTATTATCACTGGAATGCGCTGTATTAATTGCACTACTCTGATGATCGTCTTCTATCTGCTTTTTAAGCGCCTTTAGATCAGCTAAATTTCAAATTACTTTTATTCATAAATTTATATATAAATATATATATATACGCCAATTATATACACTAATTATAACTACACTACACTACCTTTTATACACGATCTTTTCTACGCATGGGAAAAACTTTTCATTAAACATAATATTAGAGTAGTCTTTACCTCAGATAACACTTCTTCAAAATTATTTACTAAATTAAAATCTGAATTTGATCCAAAAATTTTAAGTAATTTAGTATACAAATTAAATTGTCTAAATTGCCAAGGGTTCTACATTGGCAAAACTAGCCAAAATCTGCACAAAATATCTCTCAACATAGAATTAATTCAAAAAATAAGAATCCGTATAAAACAATGCTTTCAGAACACATAAATAACCTTCAGCAAAACATTGATTTCCTAAACCCAAGTATTTTACATTTTGAAACCAATATATTTAAAAAAAGATTTAGTGAAGGTTGTCTGATATCATTAAGCAATAAAGAAAAGACAATTAAACAATATCAACAAGAGACTTGACAGCTATTCACTCCGCAATGATTACAAGATACTCCTCGACAATTTTTCAAACAATATTATTACTGAATGAAGCATGTCCCTTTTTTATTACATTCTGAAACCATATGTTTTTACCAGCTTGCACATTTTTTTAAAAGAAATCTTTGTAAACACATTCATTCAGCGTTTTGACTTCAACAACTATGTACACAAATTTAGTTTTTCAATTTTTAATTCGTTAGTTTTTAATTCATAACTAGTTTTAAATATTTGAACTAGTGATAGCTTGGTGTTACAATTGTGTTAATTAGTGTAGTGTAGTGTTTAATTGTTTTTGTCTGTATAAAATCTTAAAGTACCTATCTTTAAATCAGATACAATATCCATGTTGTATCAATTTTCTTTTCTAAATTAATTATAAATAAACTTCATAGTTTTCCGCTGAATGACGGTCTTGATGAAGACTGAAACATATGGATTAATAAATCTGTTTTCCTAATTGATTTAATTTTGTTTACTTGGTGATATTGCCTGACTTAACACACTCATTTTAATATATATATATATATATATATATATATATATATATAATATATATATATATATATATAATATGTATGTTTATATATATATATATATATATATATATATATATATATAAACTGATTTACCTGAATCTTGATCTGTTAATATTTTAATATTTGTTTCAATGTAAGATATTACTTCTAATGCTTTTTCTCTATTATGTAAATAAAACCAACAAGACGCTAATCTTTTATTCAATTTAAATTCTTTGTCTTTTGTAGACCCACTGGACATTGCGTTCATTATATCTTGTATGCATTTCTGGGAAAAAGTAAATTTATAGCACTAAGTTATATTTTCATAGTAGTTCTATTTTATTTTACTTATTTAATATTTTGCACTTAGAAATATCAATGAATGAAACACTTGATTTTAAATACCGTCCATTCTGATTTATGAAACAGTGCTGCTGATCTGTTTGCATATGCTAACGATAATTCTGAAGAATTGCATTCCGCATATATAATAGCTCTGGAATAATTACATACAGCGCCTACTAACTTTTTAGCTTTATATAACTCATTTCCAATTTTTCTTTTCTCAGCGGACTTTGCAGCTGATTTAGCACAATTATCAGCCTTAAAAGATTTCTCTATGTACAAATTCAATTGATTCCTTAAAAATATTCATCAAAAATAACATTTTATTCGAGCAACTCAATAATAATTTCTCAGTAACATGTAATTCAAATTAAAATAATAATAATTGAAGTTAAAGGAAAAAATTATCAATATATTTCTGATTCTACATTAGCAAATTAAAATTGTTCATTCAATTATGATATATCAATCTTGATCACCAATATATAGAAAGTCTAAGGATCAGATTATCTATATTTCATATTATGAATTATGGTTATGTGTCATTAATACCCACCTTAATGAATCATTGTTAAGAATGGATTTGACAGAATTTATTAAATATTTTACATTTCGCTGGCCGTCAGGCAATATATCCTCACAATATATCATATCAAGGATCGTATACCAAATGTCCATTTCAATTTTGAATGTTATTTGTTGTCGAAACGTTAAAACGGTACGCCCGCCAGCTTCAAAACAATCTATCTAATAATTTTCGATGTTATTAGCAATGCGATGTTTGTAATTGTATATCGATATGAATTCGATATATGTTTTTGGGATATAAACAGGCGCCGCAACGGTGAACAAGAATGAAAATTCCAACACTTTAATGTTGGCAATTATTAAAAATATTATTTATTATTTAATGTTATTAATTAATCTATTAAAGTTGGCAATCGTATTTAATTGTTTAGTTAACTAAGCTAAAAGTATTGGATTATTATCACGTTTGTTACGGTAGAAATATTTAATGGTAAATAATCACGTTCTATAAGGAGTAATTATGCTTAAAAATTTAAAACTAAAGATATACACACGATATTATATACCTATATATTATTGTGACAATTGTATAGATCAAGATATTCTTGTGTGACGCTTGATATCTATCATAATTATCAAGAATAAAAGAGATTTTCCATTCTTGCAAAGCTGTTTGACAAAGGTAAAATCATGAATTTATAATTATATATTATTCGCATTATTCAACCTGCATTTAAAGGAATCACAATTAGCATATTTTAAGTTTACTTATATTTTCCCGAATGTATAAAATATAGTATTTCAATATCTGCATGTGAAATATTTTATGTCACGGATTTGTTACTTAATATATAACGCATGTAATACACGATATAGTTTGCTTCCACCGTAAGTGGATAAATGCATTGAAAATGCAATAAGAGAAATTGTTCTTAATATGACTAATTATAACAAAAATAGGCTGGATAAATGTCTATATATTGATATTCATTCGCATTCTGTGTTTTTTCGTAAACTATACATATATACCAAATAAGCTATATATTAAATATTAAATAAGCTATATATTATATTTATTAGTAATGATTTATTTGGTAATGTTTTATAAACGACTTTTTCTTTCAGAATTGGTATTTGCATTTATGAAGTATTGAAAACAATTAAAACTTTTTCGAGGAGTTCGAATTTCGCTCCTCTGTTTGTGTTAGTTCTGCATCCAACTTCATTCCGTGTGCCGTGACGCGTGATTATCTTTTTTCTCGCTGTCGTCATGTTCGTATAGAAATTAACTTATGCGAAGCGGAGTGTTAATTTTTGCTAGTGATTGTTAAAATATGAAAATAAGTTAAAACCTTTTGTGAATATATTAGTTATACAAATGTGGCGCTTAAGCCATTTTTATGGTATAAAAATTTCTCATAAGAACAGAAAGTATAGCATTTCCTGCACACCGCAGAAAGCTTCAAACATATTTGAAGCTTTCGTGGTGGGTTTAATGGAACTATGAACCTGGACCCTCTAACTTCTGCTTTGACACAGATCAGTAATTTGGTCATTAATTTGAACAAAAAGAATTATAGTCAGAACACCCGTGAGATCCATCAGGTAATTTAGTTCTGTTATGAAATTCGCCATGTTGAAAAATGTTGACAATACTAACACAACTGTTAATAGTATTTGGAAAAAATTTTTTTTAGTATAATATTTAATAAAGCATCAAATTGCGAAAAAATGCATAGAGACGTGTTTTGATGAAGTTGTGTCTGAATTTTAAACATAATACAAATTTATACGATTTTTTTATTTTTACTTCGGTGCAATAATATACAAAAAAAAAAAAAAATGAAAAAAAACACTTATTTTTTTAATTTCATATTATTGTTGTATTTTTGTTTTTCGATTTTAGAGAAAGAAACAATGTTATTTACTGTATATTGACTCTTGCTAATAAATAGATTTTATAGTATTTGTCATGATCAAATTGGAAAACTATCGATAATTAAGAATTTAACAGCTGTCCTCAATTCTAATACTCAAAAAAATAACATTTATATTAAAATAATACGTATTTAAAAATAAATGTAGCAATTTTTATTGATAGTATCTGAGTTGTATGGAATCAAGTGCTTGTTTAAAAACTAAGAATTTTTTTTTAAGTTACCTTTAGAATCCTTTAGAAATTTGTTAACCAATGGAGCAACATTAATTATTTTATATTATTCATCAGCTTGTGAAGCAATTTGGTTTAGAAGCAAATAGACATCTTTTTCGTTGTCTGTTTTCTTTGGTGGATTTTGGAGACATATCAAGTGCAGGAGGCAAAGGTTCTGCGCAGGCGCAACTGCTCAGTGCAGAGTGCGGATCACTGCTCAATAACCCTGCCCTTGTCTCCTTTGTCTGTTACGCTATTGACAATCCTTTCACGAGCCAAAAGGTAATTGTTTTTTCTTATTGTTTTAATATTTATGTTGCTTAATATTATTAACAAAGTCTTTTAGCTATATATTAATGCATGCTTAATAGCGCATAATTTGTGAAGATAGATGCATGAGAAGTAAGATAACCTTGTAATTAAATATTATTTAATTTTTTTGTTATATCAAATTAAATTAAATATTTAATTTTGATTTGATTTAATGGTTTAAAATTAATTAATTTTAGAATTTAAAGCCAACATCAGAACTTCTAAAACAAATTTCACGTACTTTATCACTGACCACTCTTCAGGAAGTTGTAATATCATTGTCACTGTTACACTCAACGAATCCTGACACAGTAAATATTGCTGCTGTCCATTTGAAAGTGAAATTTCCTGATCTGATTAAACCTTACATTGACTCTGGTATGTATATTTATTAATATGATTCAAATGCTCTATACCAAAAGATTTGAAGACTCGATTTAACACTAATTCTTTTAGATAGTCATCGGGGTCAAGAAGAAGGTGGTTTGCATGATACAAGTCCAGAAGTTCTGCAGTTGATTTTGACCAGTCTATCAAGAGGACAAAATATTAAGCTCGGAATACCGGATATAACACACAGCCTTTTTCTTACAAATCTGTGCAGGGACTTTCCCCGAGATAGGGTACCCTTAATTTTAGCACCATTTCTTTATCCTGAAGATACTGAACCTTCTTGTGAGAGTATGAGCTCGGTTGAAAATAATTTAGTCACAGCTGCCATAATGGATAGAACGTGGTCTGAAATGCTTTTGGAATCAGGCTATGCTTTTACATCTTCTGTTGAAGATTGTAGAACTACTTTGATGAGTGGTCGGGAGTTAACCCCAACCGATGTTGCCAAAATGATATCTATGATGGCGAGGACTCATACAAATCTATCTGAAGGCATGGTATTGCAAACACCTGGTACTTTTTGGCCAAATTCAACAGAAAATAAAGAAAAACCAGTCACTAATGCATCAGGTGATCATCCAACATCATGGAAACCAGAGATCTTCATACAAGCTTTAAAGGAAGTGGTGCCCAATTTGAATTGGAAAGAGGTTTGCATGCAGCTGGACCATCCAGAATTCATGATTAAAGATAGACAAGCTCTCTCAACATTATTCACACTATTGCGATTAGGTTTGCAATCAGCTGGTTGTCATCAGAATGTTTTCCCAGTTGAATGCATTTATCGGCATTGGAGTAATGTTGAGGGTCAGTTGAGTCTTATAACTAATATTCTCAAGAATCCTGATATATTCTCATTTGCGGATCATCCATATGCTCAAGTTCATATTGACTTGCTAAAATCACCACCTGAGACTGACAACAAAGACATTGCTTCCTGGAGATCTCTACATTTAATTGAGGTACTACTTTATATTGCTGAAAGTGGGTTTTATCCACAGGCCCAGGAGCTCTTCAAGACACCAATTCAACATTGTCCTGATGTATTAGTACTTGCTTTGTTACAAATCAGTCCGCCTGTTACAGTCTTTCGTCAAGAATTGTTAACTAATTTGATGCCTATATTTTTGGGAAACCATCCAAATGGAGCTACAATATTACATAATGCTTGGCATTCTCAGAATATTGCTATAAAACCAGTGATAATGCATGCTATGGCGGAGTGGTACCTTCGAGGAGAACACGATCAGTCAAGATTATCACGTATTTTAGATGTAGCTCAAGATTTAAAAGCTCTGTCCATGTTATTAAATGCCAGATCATTTATGTTTGTTATAGATTTGGCTTGCTTAGCTTCTCGCAGAGAATATTTGAAGCTCGAAAAATGGTTGACAGACAAAATTAGAGAGCACGGCGAAACATTTGTGTCAGCTATTATTAAATTTCTTCAGCGACGTTGTCCTCAAATTATGGGGAACAAAGTGATAGATGACCAGATTCCAAAAGCAGCACAATTACCACATGAGACTATCACTACAATGTTAGCTTGTTTGCAAGTTTGTATAGGCAGTATACAGCAAGAGTTATCTGATGCCATAATAACTATGGCAACTAATTGTTCTTTAATGTTAAGTGCTTCAAGGCAGGCTCCTCCTCCGGGTGTTTTAAGGCAACATAGGGCATTAGATACCCCTTTTAATCCATCTAGTCTTGGTGGGCAGATTTTCAATGCTTCTAATGTAGATTCACTGGCCAATTTAAGTTCTAATCTGGCCAACATGAATTTGGGAGCACCTGCCAACACTACTTTCAATCTTCCTGCATCATTAGGGCCATTGGTTTCATCTACTTCTGGATCGCCTCCTAGATTGGTAGGAGCGGGACCTTCAAATAGTCCTTTTCCAATTTTATCTCTACAGCACGCAGGTGCCGTAGGAGCAGGTCCTGCTATTGTTCAAGGAGTTAATTCTATAGCTAGCTTAGGGAGAATGGGTCCCACCCCTGGTTTAGATAAGCCAAGAATTGTTAATGAGGCACCTATATTGTTTCCTGATATGGGTCAAAATGTTACTAAAGAGGTTGAAGATGAGGCTAATAGTTACTTTCAGAGAATTTACAATCATCCCCCTCACCCTACTTTAACTATTGATGCTGTTTTAGACATGCTTAAGAAATTCCAAGATTCCGAGCTTAAACATGAACGTGAAGTATTTAACTGTATGTTACGTAATTTATTTGAGGAATATAGATTTTTTCCTCAATATCCTGATAAAGAACTTCATATTACAGCACAATTGTTTGGAGGAATCATTGAAAGAGGATTGGTTTCTAGTTATATGGCTTTAGGAATGGCTTTGCGATTTGTTTTAGATGCATTACGAAAACCTGAAGGTTCTAAAATGTATTATTTTGGTATAGCTGCTTTGGATCGGTTTAAGACAAGATTAAAGGACTATCATAAATACTGTGAACATGTTCGGACTATTCCCCACTTTAATGAGTTTCCGCAACATTTAATAGAATATGTAGAATATGGTTTGCAAAGTGCTGAACCGCCTAATAAACCACAAGGACCAGTTTTGCCTGCTAGCTTATCAGCTATGCTGTCAAATAATACTTCCACCAGCCATTATCGTACATCAGTTGTCACAACCCCTATTAGTACATCGACTGTTACAAAACCTGCACCAGTAAATACTGCAACTGCATCTATAAGTTCATCAAGACCTTCTATTGCAGTAGCTACCAATATTGATACTCTTCTGGTAGCTACAGAACGAGAGGAAAAAATGACAGCACCTCCAGAAAATATCCAAGATAAGACTGCTTTCATCTTTAATAATTTAAGTCAACTCAATTTACAAACTAAATGTGATGAAATTAGAGAAATTATAACCGAAGAATATTGGCCATGGATATCTCAATATTTGGTCATGAAGCGTGCGTCAATAGAATTGAACTTTCATGCATTGTATTCTAATTTCCTAGATTGTTTAAAGATACCTGCAATAAATCATTTAGTCACAAAAGAGACTTTTAGAAATATTAAAGTGCTTCTTCGTTCTGATAAAGGAATTGCAAATTTTTCTGATAGGTCATTGTTGAAAAATTTGGGTCATTGGTTAGGTATGTTAACATTAGGACGAAATAAACCTATTCTCCAAATCGACATTGATATAAAGTCACTGTTAGTTGAAGCTTATGTTAAAGGCCAACAAGAATTGCTTTATGTTGTGCCTTTTGTCGCTAAAGTCCTAGAATCTTGTGCTAAGAGTCGTGTTTTCAAGCCACCAAATCCATGGACCATGGGTATAATGAATGTGTTGGCTGAACTGCATCAAGAGCAAGATCTAAAATTGAACTTGAAATTTGAGATTGAAGTTTTGTGTAAAAATCTCAGCATAGATGTAGCTAATTTAAAACCTGCTATATACCTAAAAGATCCTGATCGAGTTCAGAAGTTAGAATATCAATTATCCCATCCAAATAAAATGAAGGAAATTACTGCACCAAATGCATCAACTCCTTTAGTTCCCAGTACTGCTACGGTTACAGATGACATTTCTACTGTTGCATCTGTGACCCCCACAAATGTTGGTGCTACTAGTGATTCATCAGTTGGAGGCTCAGTTAATGTAGGGCCTCCAGAGCCCAGATTCAGTTATTGGGATATCACTATAAATTCCACAGCTTGTTTAGCTCAACATATCACCGTAAGTCCCATGATTCAGCTCTTTCAATCTCATCCACATCTGAAGTTGTACATTCGTGGCTCTATTGAGAGAGCGATTCAAGAATGGATTTTGCCAGTTGTAGATCGTTCCATTAAAATAGCACTGACTACTAGTGAACAAGTAGTACGTAAAGACTTTGCATTAGATCCAGATGAAGTAAGAATGCGCACTTCGGCGCATCACATGGTCAGGAATTTAGCTGCTGGCATGGCAATGATCACATGTCGTGATCAGCTTTTATCTTCTATCAACACCAATTTAAAGACAGCTTTTCTAAATGCTATGGTCAATGCAACACCACAACAAAAAGAAGTAGTTGAAAGTGCTGCAACGCAGTTGGCTGCAGACAACATGGAGTTGGCTTGTGCATATGTTCAAAAGACGGCAGTTGAGAAAGCAATTTTAGAGATTGATAAACGCCTCGTAAATGATTATGAACTGAGAAAGATTGCAAGAAATGAGGGAAGGTCAGTATCATTTTTTTTTTTTTTTTTGCTGTTACAATGGTCATTTATCATAATCCACTCACACACTTTTGGTAATATTTTAATATTAAATCTTTTTTATTATTTCTCAAATTTCAATTAATAATCACTTATTATCAATAATCTTTTCAGAAATAAACTATGCACTAATTCTAAAATTTTGTTTAAGAATAATTATATTAGAAAATAATATGTTACACACATGATCAGAAAATGATCTTATTGTACATCTATCAAATTGCAGGAGGTATTGTGACCCAATGGCTTTAACCTACCAGGCAGAGAGAATGCCTGAACAAATAAGATTAAAAGTTGGTGGAATATCTAGCTCTCAAATGGCAGTTTATGAAGAATTTGCAAGAAATATCCCAGGATTCTTGCCTCTGAATGATAGAGATGCTGCTTCTTTATTTATTCCTAAAGCCACGCAGCAAGTAAGTAGCTGGAACTTGTTCTTACACAGATATTTTCATTTCTAACTGAACTTTTTTAAGGATTCCTTACCTGTAACTCCATTTCCTCAATCAACTGCAACCGTTGTACCACCTAATCAACCAACTCCAATATCCTATGGGCTGGATGAAATGAGTGCTATATATGATAAGCTTTTTATCGACATTGAGAAGTTTCTCAGCTCTCCATTGACAATGACTCTGACCTTACAAGCCACATTAACCCATGGTCTCTTAGAATGTTTGTTACTAGCCAGAAGATCAAGGGAGGTAGCCTCTGCATGCAATTTGCTACAAAGAGCAGTTGAAGGTTTACTTGAAGGTTTAACACCCATGCCTGAAAGCCCTGAGCCAATGATCAGGTAAAAATTCAAAAGTTTGTTGAATAGCTTAAACTGTAGATTATTTCACTTGAATACAATTAATTAAATCATACTTTATCAAATATTGTACAAATTTTGTTTTTCAAAAATCATCTTAATCAAGTGGTTTCTATACCATAGAATCATGAAGATAATTTTATCTTAATTTCCAACAATATGACTGAATTTAACCAAAATCTGAATAACTAAAAAATTCTGTAGATTTCGGGAACTACACATGCGGGTCTTGAAAATGCTGCAAGATCCACGCGCCTATGGTATTCAATGGACTAGTAAACAAGTTACAAGGTGCTTACAAGAATGTAGAGAAGAAGTGCGATACAACTTAGATGCTATTGACTGTCTTATAAGGGCAAATCTTGTCAATATGCAGCAGGTATGAAAAAAATGATACATATAAAATAAGTGATACATATATAATAATAATTTATATTTATCATTAAACTATTCGTTTTATATTTTTATTTTTGAAGTTTATTTCAATATTAAAAATAAGTGTAAATGGAAAACCTTGATTTATTTTGTAGTTATTATGAAATTTAGCATGTATTGTAACACATATAAATTTAACCTTTTTATATTTCAGTATGACATAATTATTGCCCAGTGCATGGACAATGGAAACAATTATATGGCTGTGACTTTTGCAATGTCCTTAGTGCAATTGTATTTGATTGATGAAAGATTGAGCGCACATGTTTCGGAAGCTGATTTGTTCAATACTATTGATATGTTAGCTAGAATGGCTGTTCATTCTCGTCAGCCACCTGAAGGTCTTGCCACTCTGTTGGATATGTTGAGAGCAACACACGAGACAAATAATTTCCTAGGTGATAGAGCACCTGGAGGCCCTACTGCTCAAATACATAGTGGCATTTTGCAAGTTAGGGTATGTCCATTACATATCGCTTGATAAATACAACTACGAGAATATGAATTTAATTTTGTGGCCTATAGAAAAGAAATGAAATCAAATATATTCTCTTTTTTAAAATTTAAATAATATATGAATTACTATTGCAATTGAAGATTTTATATAATAAAATTATTACTACATTATAGATATTGTGTTGTTTATTAGTAGTTAGTATCACTAGTCTCCTTATTGGCATTACCTAGTATACTGAAAGCATAGTCATCAGTTTGTTGCGCACAAAAATTATTAATCGAATTGCAGTCAACAAAAATGCTAATGATAATTACAATTACAATAGGCTGCTGATGATGACCCACCGGGTTTATTGGATAAAACAGACGTACTTCTCAGAGACTGGGTACAAATATATCATACATCACAAGCCGCTAGAGATCCAACAAAGGCTTTTAGTGTTTTTGTTCATCAAATGAATGTTAATGGGATATTAAAAACAGATGATCTCATAACTCGCTTTTTCCGTCTTTCAACACAGGTAATATTTGATTTTTTTAATACGCTGTGTGCCTAAGTCAAATCACATTGTACATGAACAGTGTTGTGTTTTAAAGTTTATTTTTAAAAACAAAAGTAAAAACCTTTCACTGATATTTCTAGATTTGCGTTGATGTTGTGTATCGCAACTTAAATGATCAATCATTGACCCCAACTCTACTTCGTGCTAAAAGCTTTTCATGGTTGGATGCTTTTGTAAGATTGGTATCTCTACTTGTAAAACATTCGGGAGATTCTGGTAATACAAGCACAAAAATTAATCTTCTCAATAAAGTTTTGGGTATTGTGGCTGGGTGCTTGCTACAGGATCATGAAAGTCATGGTACAGGCTTTCAACAACTCCCATATCATAGGATATTCATTATGCTTTTTTTGGAGCTTAATGCTCCTGAACCTGTTCTGGATAGCATTAATTTCCAGGTAATTAATTAGTATTATTTTTGGACTTCTTGTGTGTGTGTTCATAAATAATATGGTTCATATAACAGTTGTCATATTTTGAATTATTGTGATTGAAATATTAGAAGTTTCCAATTTATTAGAAATTGGCAGAATTATATGAATACATAATGAGGTTTTCATATTTAGGATATTAGTGAGATTATATAGTTTTGTTTATAATGATAATGATAAATTGTGCATATATTTAGTTTTTTTTTTTTTTTTTGTTTCAAAACAGATTTTGATATTTGATTTACGTATAAGTGAAAGTTCAAATATTTTAAAATTACTTGGGCATAATTATACTTCACTCTTCATTATATTACTGAGTATTTTTAATAGTCTTCAGTCATTAAATAAGGAAGAAACCTTATGCAATTATAACACATGATACATCAAGCAAATTACCTATTTCTTGTGAACGTTTAAGTAAAAAGTTTGTTGCCCAATTCTAAATATTTCATTAGTTTATATAATTATTGAGTATCATAGGAAAGATAATATCAAATTCTTGGTTTTAAATAAAAATCTTGAATGTTTTACTAGTTATTTAATTATGTAGGTAACATATTTAATATATATAAATTTAATTTTCTATTTCTGTTTAATTTAGGTGTTGACAGCTTTCTGTCATACTTTGCATATTTTGAGGCCAACAAAGGCTCCAGGATTTTGCTATGCTTGGTTGGAATTAATATCTCATAGAATATTTATCGGGAGAATGCTTGCCATCACTCCTCAACAAAAGGTAATTTTATTGGAATTAAAAATTTGCTCACAATGTATTTTATAAACCCATATAACCATTTGATATTATCTTCTTTGATAAATAGTTACTTACTATCTGAAATGAGTGAGCTCTTCAGCTAAAAAATCTTAAATTACTGTTTTCAGGCTTGGGGAATGTATGGTCAACTTTTGATTGATCTATTCAGATATCTAGCTCCATTCTTACGAAATGCGGAACTGGCTAAACCTGTTCAGCTACTGTACAGGGGAACCTTGAGAGTTTTGCTTGTATTATTACATGATTTCCCAGAATTTTTATGTGATTATCATTATGGCTTCTGTGATGTGATTCCCCCAAATTGTATTCAGATGCGAAATTTAATTTTATCAGCATTTCCTCGCAACATGAGATTACCTGATCCTTTTACCCCAAACTTGAAAGTGGACATGCTAACAGAAATATCGCATGCACCAAGGGTAATGACTAATTATGCAGCTCTTATTCAGCCTATCAGCTTCAAGAAAGATTTGGACTCTTACCTTAAAGCTCGGGCTCCGGTTACTTTTTTATCGGAGTTGAGAAGCAACATGCAAATTTCTAATGAACCAGGATTGAGGTACAACATACCATTGATGAATGCTGTTGTTTTGTATGTTGGCACACAAGCTATAGCGCATATTAGAAGCAAAGGACAAACACCAAATATGTCCACAATTGTTCATAGTGCACATATGGATATTTTCCAAAATCTTGCAGTAGATTTAGATAATGAAGGACGATATTTGTTTTTAAATGCAATTGCTAATCAATTAAGATATCCCAACAGCCATACACATTATTTTAGTTGTGCATTGCTGTATTTGTTTGTTGAGGCGAATACAGAAGCTATTCAAGAACAAATAACAAGGGTATTACTGGAAAGATTGATTGTAAATCGTCCTCATCCATGGGGTTTATTGATAACATTCATAGAATTGATTAAAAATCCTTCATACAAATTTTGGGACCATGATTTTGTTCACTGTGCTCCAGAAATCGAGAAGTGAGTATTAATTTCAGAAACATCTGATTGTTTTCTTGATATTAAGCTTTTTTATGTGCATGACATAGAGCTAATTTTCATTAATAATTAGGATATTTTAAAACTAACACTTACTAGTAGATTAGATGAATGTAAATCATTGCAATAAGTAGGTAGAATAATGTTTTTTTATTAAAATAGTTTATTTCTAGATTATTTTTTTGGCAAAAAAGTTTAATCTAAATCATTCAGTAGAATCAGCATAACTGCATCTTTATTTCAATGTAATATTTTATTTACTCAATTTTATACATAAAAATTCATTTTAATTACTCATTTCATTTTGTGCTTACATAATAACTTTTAATTGGTGTTTTGTATGAGAATTTTTCCTTTTTGTCTTAGGTTTTCTTACATGTTTATTTATTTTTCATTTTACCAAGTTGATAATTATATATTTTAAATGCATGTTATATTCAAATCAAGAGTAAAATTTGTAGCCATTTGTGCATCACGATGGAAGCTGATTGTTTCATATACAAAAGTCTGCAATACAAAAGGTGATTGATTGACGATTTCAAAGCAAAATATCCCAAGTTATAATTCAAGTTAAGTTTCAAGTCTTTTGAAGCAAGTTGGCTTTTTAAAATCTATCTTCAATGAAAGATGGCTACATGTTTTTATTAAGAGGTGCCTAACTACTTTATTGATTTTGATATACACCTCATTATTCATTCTAGATGAGAATGAATGATTTTATTACTCAAGAGCATAATTTAAATGAAATATTTACAAATTTCTTATGAATATTATTCTTTTTTTCTCCAATTAAGCTTGATTAAGAGTAATTGATAATTTTTTATCTTTGGAATTAAATGTTATTAATTTTGCTGTCAACACAATAATTTAACATAAAAATTACTTAAAACATTCAAATATTGCAATATGATGCATGTCATTCATTTATCATCTAGTATAAAATTAAAAAGGTTGTATATAAATATTATATATATATATATAAATATTGCATGCAGCTTTAGTTAATTATTGACTTTGCAGGCCTATTGCCAAATTCAAAACAGCAGCTGTTTTATGTTCTAACATTCCCTTGATTCCTGATGGTCAAATCCCTGCCTATCGATTTCCTCAGAGAGCAGCTTCTTCATCATTAGCATCAAAGAACTCTAAAGCACTGTGATGATCATTATGCTTATACTTACTGAGCATGCTTGTGTGGATTTTCTAATGCTTTGCTTGCCTCGATAACAATGGAAAATGTTTACAGCATTAAAAAATCGTGACATTGTAGATATTCATTTGCTTAATAGTCGGTTTTGCTTCTAGCTTTTTATTCAGTATTCTTTACGTTGGAAGTAGAAATAATAAGCTTATTACTATAGCTTCTTTTTTTAAGAATTTTAAATGAAAGATTTACAACATGTTGTAAGTCAAATTACATAATTATGTTAATATATTGATGTTATGTTCATTTTGATTGAAATTTATATTTAATATATTTATATCAAATACCTAGTAGTACATCTAAAACTTTGAAACTTTGCTTGTAAATGGATTAAATGTTCTTTGTAAATAAAGTAATAAGTTATAGATTGGTCAACACTTCTTTTTTTTCAGTATGAAGAATAAATGTTCCATTTAATGTTTGCGTATTGAAATTAATACTTGTGTGGCATATGATTTAGATAAATTCATCTTGTATTTTTTCACAGATTATTTGACTCAGTAGCCAGGTCCTGCATGGTTGTGAAAACACCACAACCTTCAGCATTATCTGATGGAGAATTAGCTGAATGAATTTTGATCTCCCTAAAATATAATTGTAATTATAATGTGTTATGATAATTAGACTACTGTAAGCAGTTAGCTTTAAGTTTGTATATTTTAGTTAGAAGACTTGCTGATATGTAAGAGAAGACATTTGTTTATTACATAAATTTATTCTCGAATATTGTGAAAATGTACATATAATTAGCATTATATAGAAATAGTGTGATTTAAAATGTGTTATATGTATATAATGTTATAGGCCTTTCTTAGTGAATATTTCTATATTTATAGAGAGAGAGAAAGATATGTGTAATATGACTTGTATCTGATGATATGAAGAGACTATTTTCGTGGATATTTGTTTTATGAAAGATTTTTTTTTTTAAATGTTGTAAAGGATGTAACTTCAGTTGCAGTTATTTATTAAAACAATTTTAATTAAAGCTTTGGCTTCTAGCTTAACAAAATAATCATTGTGGTTTTATGCATTTTAATAGTAGTACTGCTTTTGTGCTAAAATATTATTCATAAATTGGCTGGGTAATTATGCTAATATAGATGTTGGTTAGCTGATGTTTTAAATAAAAAGTTTTAAATGGAAAAGTTTGTAAGTATGCGATTTTATCAATAAGTCGCTTAACATTAAAAAAAAATTGTACAAAATAAGGTAATGATTTTACTTGCATAAAATTTCATATTTTATTAAAAATAATTTCAGAATGTAATGTTGTTTCATTAGCCTTATGATTATTCCACACCATATGCTTTTATATCGCATTGGGTACAAATCTTGTTAGTCAAGAGAAATGATGTCGCATATATGTAAAATACATATAATATAATAATATATTTATATAAAAATATTACTTATATAAATATCAATAATTAGAAAAAAAATATATTAATAAAGTATTTCATTATATATAACTAAGTAATAATCAAGCTTATCAACATCTCATAATTATGTATATATGTAAGTAGTTTCTATATAATTAGGTAACGGGAATTATTAATAATGAAATATTTTATTATGTACACACACACACACACACATATATATATATATATATATATATATATATATATATATAGATATATTTTATATATAAATATATTACCTAGGAATATTATATTTGTGTTGATCCAAATTACATGTAAATCTGCTTCCAAACTTAAATATTTTTATAGCCTGGCATATTTATTAAATTTAAAATTCAGAAAAATCTTGTTTGCGGGAAAATTTAGAACGCTTACTTAACAATAAAATACATACGCGTACAAATTATTCGTTCATAATTCAAATTCACTTTAGTACTTTTTGTTTATTTATTTATTTTAGTTCTATCTATTAATTATTTTTATACATTCAAAACAGCGAAAAAGTTATCAAATGTAATTACATAATTTTTGTGGAAGTAAATATTTACTGCAGAAATAAACATTTAGTAACATTATAACTCTGATATTATTTATGATAGCTTCTAGATGTAAATTTGAATAGAGTACTATTTGAAAATTTGTATTGCAACGAACTTAACCCTTTCCACTCGCTAATTCCGAGATTAATACGAATTTTGCCGCCGGAGCAGCGGCATCCGAGTGGAAAGGGTTAAAGTAGTTTCAGATACTTCAGTAAAAATATTGCTACATATCGTTATTGAATATCGATAGATTTATTGAATATTTGTGGTAAATCAATTTGCATGTTGCAACACAGTGATAAATGAAATGTAGTAACTTTTATTAAGAGTTCGCTTCTATGTATCGAGTGGCGCGTAAGTATTGGTGTTCGTGGGTATTACGCTACGCGTCGATTTGCGTTCGTATTTGTGCATTTTTATGTGATTTATGTGAATGTGTTTGTATTGTGTACCAGGTATTTCAAGCTGATTTTAACCAATGATGTTCGGTGAGTTTTTAATCACTGTCCAATAAATATGTATTTTATTTATTTGCTCGTTATTATAATAAATAAATTTATTTAATTAAATGTTATTTTAAATATATTTTTTAAAAATGAAGCTAACAAATTATGATCCTCTAAAATAATATTACATGTTTTAAAAATTAACTGGTCGATTAGTTATATTAAAAATCATAATTAGTTATTATCTCATTAAATGATCTTCCTAACGATTCTAAAATCATATATATACGTTATGTAAGATCTTCCAATAAAAAACAATGTCGGAAATTAAAATTTCACGTAGGGAATCTGGTTATTTTCAGTCACAACCGAGTGAATGGATTCAGGGTCGGCGCTACCCTGAATCCAATGCATGCGAAAAATGCGGGCGCATGGTCGGGGGGCTCCATCACGAGTGTTTTATATATATATATTATATATATATATATATATATATATATATATATAATTTCATCATTATATATAATACATAAGAGACATATGAAAAACAATATATTACATTTCCCTGTGGAATGAAATGATTTCCCTGTTACAACGCTAAATAGCTATATCGATAGTGGAATCAATCCACTATGTCTTTTGCAAATTGTTTTCATCATTAATATGCTGCAGAGCAGTGGCGTCGGAAGCAAATTTTTGATGGGTGGGCTTGTTTTTTTTTCTGATACACCGCCAGTGGCTTCGTTTTTTTTGTTTAGAAATACATACTAGGGCATATCATTTTTTGAGATTGATGGGTGGGCTCAAGCCCACACAGCCCACACGGTTCCGACGCCACTGCTGCAGAGAATACATTTAGTTATTATTGTAAATGTATGTTCTTCAAAGTCCATAAACTTATATCAAACAAATTGCATAACATACACAAAAATAAAATGTTTACAGCAGGTACGTTTTCGTCAGAATGCGGCGCTAGTTGCTGGTAGATCGTTTTTGAATTAGTGCCGAGTGTAAAGGATTAATGCTTTGAATTTTTAATTTATGACGTTATTTCAACAATGTTTTAGCAAGAAATTGTTCGATTGAATTTTTAACTTTATGTAGGGTAAATTATAGTAATGAGCCAAAAATTGCAAAAATTAAAATTTTTGCATATCTTCACGTTTCAGAGGTTTCTGAACATTTTAGCATATCTCAGAAAAAATGGATGTGTGTGTGAGTGTCTTTTGTATGCCCGCATTTTTTCGTCTACCTTTTCGGGCGCACGGTTCAACCGATTTGAATAGTTAAAAAAATATTCGATTCCTATTGATAGGAAGACGTGCTGATTAGTTTTGGCAAAGGCAGGTCCAGTCGTTTCGGAGATACGAAGCTAAATATGCAAAAAATGGCAGTTGTTGAAAGAACTAAGTATTTGATTTGAATGATTCAAAAAACTTTCTGCTTGTTATGACAAAATAATTACTTTTGGGAAAAAAATCGATTCGAAAATTTTTTTTTCATTTTTTTTCCAAAAATATTTTTTTGTATATCGAAAATAATTCAGATTTTATTTTGAGTTCTGGCTAATGTTCTAAACCTCACTTATATACTTTAAATGAATAATTTTAACTTTGTAATTCATTATTGCAAAGTTAACATTATTAGACAATGTTACAGTATTTATAATAATCTATTTGAAAACATTTAATATTCCTCGAACATTTTGTTACGGTACGGGAAGTTTCAGCAATTTGCCTTAAGGCACAATGCCACACACTATTAGTTTGTTTTTCTTATTGTATCCCATGTTTTAAAATCTGCATAGCCTAATGTGAATTAACATCTAGTATCGTTCATTTTGCCGTTGATTGCGAAACTACTTTTCAAATAGCGTTTATAGAATTCGTAAGAGCGCAATGCGGCTCTGTCAGTTTTAGTGATACGCCTATTAACGGTGGACATGCATCGATTTTGCAATTTGCCTAGATCGTAAGTTGCGTGATTTTTCCGTGGCCTCGGGGTGTCCGATCTGGTGATGATGGTACTCCGGACTCGGGCTACCAATACCGGTTCAAGGCCTGTTATGTTCCCTGCTATCCTTTTGACCCGCTTCGAGCTGTATTGCCGTTCCGTAGTGTTATGGCATGCGGATGAGATCGCAATCTATCCCATCAATAGTTGGAGCGTCGGATGAATCTTCAGTTAATGTTATCATGAATGGAAAATTCAAATGCAATTGTCTTCATTCTGAACATCATTTATCATTATTGTGAACTATTAGACGTAAGAGTTAATATCAAAAATATCCCACACATAAGAGAATGGTAAATCGATGGATTGCCTCTCATGAAATAAGTAGTCATAAGTCCTCAACCAACAGTTTATAGAACATATAAGAGTTCTGATTGCTGTTCAAACAAAAAAAATATCATTATTGATAATGCGCCTCATTCATTAGGCAATTAGACCATTAGGCAATCTATGACTAAATGATCTAAAAATGTCGAGTTCAAATTTTTTCGGTCGCCCAGGCGATCGAACAATTATGTTTATAAAAATGTTGCCACAAATAGATAGCTCGCAAATATTGTTCAAACTTTGTATGACACATTATATTATAGCACCTAATTTGACCCTGAAATATATGGCCTTCAAAATACTTATTTTTTCATATTTTTAATATATCTGCAAAGTTTTGGTAGTACTTAAAAATATCAAAGTCGAATGCCAGTCCTATGATGGACGTACAATTTTGAAGTTATAGGAATCGTCCAAGTATCGAAAATGGAGTTTTTTGCATATCTTTACGTTTTAAAGGTTTCTGAACATTCTGGCATCCTTAGAAAAAAATAGATGTGTGAATGTGTGTATATGTATGCATGTATGAATACAATACAGTGAAACTCCAATTATCCGAACTCCAATTATCCGAACTCCGACTATCCGAATCGCCGATTATCCGAATCACTTTCAGAAAAAAAATTGTCCAAAAAAAGTCTAAGTGCGCTATTATTCTTCCACCAGCAAAGCCAGTGTAGGCACATTGTTTGTTTTGATTTGACGGAGATGTTTACAAAACAATGATTTTTATTTCTAAACTTGTACATAAGTACATTTTATTTATATTTAAAACATGTGAAAATGTCATGTTACTTTCATTTAATTCAATAAAAAAATATTGCAATATTAAAACGTAACTTCTTTTTCTCCAATGGCAATTTTAAAAACAAACTCCGGTTATCCGAATATTTGATTATCCGAATGGGTCCCGGTCCCCAATAATTCGGATAATTGGAGTTCTACTGTATTTTGTCTACAATTTTGGGCGCACGGATCAAAAACATTCGATTGCTATTGATAGGGAGATGTGCTGATTAGTTTTGGCAAAGCCAGGTCCAGACATTTCGGATATATGGAGCAAAATGTGCAAAAAATAGGAATTCGATTTTTGCGAGAAAGGGGCATCCTATCAGATCGATTAAAAAGCCATTCGATTCTTAATGATAGGGAGATATGCTAATGAGCTTTTTTACAAATGCAGCCGTTTCGGATATACGAAGCAAACAAGTTAAAAAAAAAACAGCAGTTATTAGAGAGAAGCGATAATCTGATTAGAATGATTCAGAAAACATTTTGCTTGTGTTGACAGTGTGAAGCAATGATTAATTTTTGGGAAAGGCAAAAAAATTTTTTTGCAAATTATTTTTTACATACATACCTAATAATTTTTTAAATATCGAAAAAGATTAGGATTGTAATTTTAATTCTAGCAAAAATTCTAAAGGTTACTTATATACTTGAAACAAATCTTTTGTTTATCTTTATATAAATATATATAAACGTCGTCGTCCAATTTATACGCTCTTATACGAGTATTTTGTATGAAAGATACGGTTAATGAAAGCCACAGTATTTATAATAATTTATTTGAAAACATTTAAAATTCCTCGAATATTTTATTACGGTACGGGAAGCTCCAACAATATGCCTTATGGCACGCACGATGCCATGCACCACTAGTAAAATTGTCGTTGAATTATACATCATCAATTTCAGAATGTTTTCATGAAAAAGTGAGTAAATTGATATTTCTAGCCGAAAGTTCAAGAATGATGTTACTTTATAATTGTTATTCTTACATAAAAATGAATATTGCACTTATTATTATAGATACCTGTTTTTTAAATTTCAGAATGAGGTTTTTAATTAATTTCAATGGTGACATTTTCATTTGAAAATAATGTGCATCGCCACTCTCCATCTACAGACGTCCGATCGTCACATCGCGAACTCTGCGGATGATAACTACTGTAATTTGTTCGCGGCTATTACGTGACAACACGCATTACGCGTCCTGATCGCTACGTTTGCCAATCTTTTTCAGTCAGAATAATATTTAATAGAAATCGTATTGAATTTTAAATAGTAGGAAAGACTATCTTCACTATAAACTAGTGGGGTGCATGGCATCGTGCCTTAAGGCTAATTGCTGGAACTTCCCGTAATTAAAAATCTTGATACGGAACCCAAAAAAAAATTACACACAATGTTCACACATTATTAAAATCTCTATAAAATATCTGATAATTTGATGTACATATGTCCAATAAACGTTTTTGATCGCCAAATGACATTTTTTCAGCGTTCTTAACCGCTGGACCTGCCTACTCAAAATTTTAATCAATGTTTTATCTTGTCAATACAAGTAAAATATTTTTTGAATTATTAAAATCAGATAGTCCATTCTTTTGAAAACTGAGTTACCGTTTTTGGAACTTTTTGCCCCGTATTTTCGGAACAACTAGACCTACCAAAAACTAATCAGCAAGTCTCCTTATCAACAGCAATCGAATGTTTTTTTGAATAATTGTGATTGGTTGAACCGTGTTCCCGAAATCGTCGACGAAAATTTGTATCCGCACACACACATACACACATCAATTTTTTCTAAAGTATACCAAAATGTTCCTTTGAAACGTAAATATATATAAAAATTTTCATTTTCGAGTGTTTTGCGATTACTATAACTTACCCTACGGGAAGTTAGAAATATGTGTTTC